ATTCCCTTGCCTCTCATTGTCATCGTTGCTCGTTACCGTCGACGTGTCGGTTATTTCGAGCGTTGTAATTCTTACCGACTGGACATTTTCTCCACGAAACATTCGCAGCTCAGCAAAAGACGCGCGGTTGCTCTCCACGCTGAGCGAGGGAAATGACGCAAATGTGGGTTAAGTTTCCGCGTCCGAGTGACTCGAGAGACTTCTCGACGCTTGTCGTTTAAACGACGACGATTTCTTTTTTCTCCTCTCCTTCTTTCCGCGGTGGCTCTATTTTTCCGATATTTCCCGCGGCTTCGCGCGCGCGCGCGCGCGCGCGCTCCGCCGCTCAGACATAGCTGCGATTCTCGCGATCTACATTTCGCCGCGCGAACGTTGCGTAGGTAGGAGTATCCCGTCAGCTGTGTGATATTACGGAAATATCATGTGTGCGGATCGGTACGGAGTTCCCCCGCCAGTTTTTCTCGCGCCAGTGATCGAGCCGTTTCGGGCTTTCGGGCGAGTAGAGTGGAGAGAGAGTAACGACGCCCACTTGTAACGACGCTGAACTGTGAACTTTCCGCCGAAAAACTCGATAGCGCGCCGATAAAATTCGAGGCGGCCGGAGAATCGAAGAGATTCTCCATTATTAATCGGCCGAGCGTCGATGCGGAATATCCTTAGTACGAGACACCGCCAGGAGAGTCATGGCCCTTTGCAAATGAAATCGCACAATAGCAGCGTGCCGACGCGACACCGCGCGTAATATAAATCAAAGCGCACAGCCTGCACGCGAGGTGCACCCTTTAACGCCATTTTTCCACCGCGTCTTTGTGCAAATTCGCTAAATTGAATTTCGTCCGCGCGATAGAAAATAAATTCGCCCCTCATTCACATTCGCGACACATCGTTATCAAAGAGCACGCGAGCACTACATTTCGGCGATCTGCTTATCAAAGAGCAGCCCGAGAGGAGCCTTCTCGATCGAGACTTCGCGATCTCCGCGGTGACACTTCGCGGTGTACTTCTTAGCCGCGGTGTTTAACTCGATCGCAAATCGCAGTCGCGCGAGTCGTGACAAATGAAGATCGAGGGGACCCTCTCCACGTGGTGATGCCGCCGCGCGATATCGGGGATAGTTTCCTAAGCGGGGTTGCGACCGCTACGTTCGCACTGCCTCGAGCTACCTCAGCGCACCGATTCAGAGACAGCTCTCTGCATCTTCGCAGTACCGTCCACCGCGAGCCGTCACCACTGATTGCACTGACTCCGACGAGCGAGTCCGCGCGTGCGAACGGCGAGACACGGGCAGCCTTTGGCAATTACGCCGAGCAATCTCCAAAGTCGCTCGGCGACCGGTCGAATCGTCGGTCGGTCGGTCGGTCGGTCGGTCGGTCGCGTGCGTGCAAGATCAGCCTCGGCGAGAGGCTTTCGCGTCTCTACCCGCGAATTATTTCGTCGCTCGCTTAGGGTTGCTCGCGACGTGAATGCTAGATGAATACTGAGGAGCACGTCACCACGGATGCCGGGTTTCAACCCCCTTCTACGTGTGCCTGCCTGCCTGCCTGCCTGCCTGCCATCCCTCTTCCGGACCCCGCTCCGCCGTCCCTTCGCTCCACTCCCTCATCAGACGCGCATCCACCCACGCAACTGTTGCGCCCCCGCCCGTTTCTGATCACCCCTCGCCGTCCGCGCGACGAGCGCGCGTGGTGCCGCCGAGATCGAGCCACGTGGCCGTGGATCGATGATCGCGATCGCGATCGCGCTCGCGTCGGCTGTTAAAAGTAAATGCTATTAATTACCCCTCGCTCCGGCCGCTGCCGCCGGAGCCGTCGCTGACGAAATTAACGGCAATATCGCTGCTTAAAAGAATTAATTAAATATATTCGGCGTTTTGAGAGAGCGCTGTCGCGCGGTGCCGCTATTAATTCGATTGAATCGGCACTTTTAGAACTCGGCTTCAGAGCTCGTGCCAGAACGCGGATCGGCGACTCGGCCCATTAATTAACTTCTCGCTGAAAGCCGGACTGAATTGTTGTCAATTAAGATACATACCTGAATATACCGAATAAACGACTGCGGGATTATAATGTTACGTAACCGGCGCAAATATATCGACGTTACGTAATTAATTCACGCCAGGGTTGCCCAAAATATTGGCTCGTAAGCTTATGAATCGAGCTTATTATTATATCCATCAGCGCGCGCATGCTTCATTATTGTCATTATTATCGTACAATCCTGCGATACCGTATCCGAGCGGAACTTCATTGCTGTGTGTCATTTACGATCCGTGATTATCAGATCGTTCGTCAACATTTATTCACCGGGACGGTTACGGGGAAGCGTGCGAGGGGGGCAGTGAGTCATGAAAAATACGCTAATCGATTTCTCACGTAAGGACTCACGGACTGGTGACTGCCGGGCTGTGTGTTGGTCGATGCTGCAAAGTCGTCGGCGACGGATAACGCACGTCGCACTTTGTAAGCTCGGCTCGAACGATGCATAAAACATCCCGGCTCACGTAGCCCGCCTGCGCTTCTCCCCGCCAACTAATTAGTCTGGACTTATTAATGGTAGTTTTGCAACAGTCGTTGGATTCTTACGGACGCTCTTCTGTCGAGGGCGCTTAATTAATTACACTCCCGTAGGGCGCGCCGCGATAGTAATAATGTGTTTCTAATTAGTCGCGTTTGCGCGCGAAATACCTACGAGTTCGTCGAGTCGAACGCGAGTAGAAGGTCGACCGGCGAGAAGAAATGAACGGAAGAGAACGGGTGCGCGCGATTTTCTAGGGAGAGCTGCCGATCGGATTATTTTATTTCGTCGTCGCAAAAAAGAGCGCTCGCTCACCGGTTCCGTCTGTTGACAAAGTTTTTTGATAAAAAACACATATATATATATATTTTTTTTTTATGTTCACTAGGTGAATATATATGTATAAATTTCTCTCTCTCTCTCTCTCTCTCTCTCGGCTAGACTTAGATCCGTATCGTTTTCCGAACTTCGAGTATTTATCTGCGTGAATCTGCGCTTGTTAAACTCAACATTGATCGATTGACGTCGAATCAATTTTTTCCATCCATTCGCCAGCTTGCATTCCCAGACATACTCGCATATAACCACCACTCGTAAAATTAGCGAAATATTCCCCTGAGCAGAGGCAGGAATACGTAATTGTTTTCCTGCTGCCGTGCGGGAGTCCGTTGCGCGCGTCCGCGCTGAGAAAAAGCTACTTTACATATTGCTCGATTCATCGGCGATTATTCGAGATATAATTGCTTCCCCGAGACGAGTAATTGAAATTACTCGTCGCGGCAGAAGTATATATACAGGCTCCGGCGAGCGGTATAAAAATATGAAAAAGAAGAACGAAAACAGCGGGATGATGATGCGTTTGAATGTGTGTTGTTTTATTGGAACTTTTATCCGATATTCTTGGAGTGCAAACTATCGTGTCAAAATCAACGATGGCTCTTCTCTATTTTCATACTTGGCAGATCTCGTAACAGGCTCGCTACTATCGTAGCGTAGATAAAAAGTTGTTAATAATTCGTTAACATTGTTGAAATTTCTATAGACTGCGGCGATTGATTAGATATTCAAAGAGATATGACTTTAGCGAAATTAATTCTCGATGATGAAAAGAGGCCGTATCTGAAATCGTTTCCTTCTTATTATCGTAAAGAGAGTTACATATTACTTTCATTCGCGTCTGTGTAGCATTGAAATTTGAACTTATCGTTATCACGTCGGCTACAATGTTTGTTTCTAACGTCACCACTGAAGTGAGAAATCGTGAAGTACACTTTGCGGATGAAATCTTCCGATAAAGTTGCCTCATGTGATTTTCAGACATCTTTGGACACCCTATAAATTGCGTTAAGAGATCGATAGAATTGCGAATTGTGACCTAAATTCTTGAATATTACATGTACCTCTTATCTGATACGTGCGCGATACAATTCCTATCTTTAGTTGCTTATGTTCCTATCCATTAACTTAATGCGCGTACAAGTTGTTTATTGATAAAAAGAGATAATCCACTACCTCTCTCTCACGTAAATTCGGAATTGTACTTTCAACTGGTGAGATCACGATTGCACGTAGCCCGTTGGACTCGCGTAGCAATGTTTATAGATAAAAGAAAATTTAATTAACATCAGATTGCGCGTATAAATATGCGCAAACAGATACCGAGTCTTTTCAACTGAGACACGATCGGGCAAAATTATGAGGCGTGTGCTCTCTTCACGCCGGCAAAAATGCCCCGATCCGCTTGCAACGTGGTGGCCGATAATGAGATTATGGAAACTTGGAATTTACTACCACCACTTTTTATGCTCGGCTGCTTTGAGCGCGAGAATGCCTTCCCTCGTCGAGTCGAGCGCATGATCTCGGAACGTACGACGGAACGACGATGTGCGACGTCCCCCGACAATTTCATGAATAATTGAACGTGTGCTTTAAGCGATGACCGTGACGTATTGGCGGAGTATCGGTTCGGCCCGCAAACAGAATATGCTAGCCAGCCGTCCGGACTGCTTGATTGATTAACAGTTTGCGTTGAATTTTCGAACGTTGAATCGCTCGTCTGGGATGGATGTTACGATGCGATTTGTGCGCGATAGACGGCATAATACGGCGCTGGGATTCTCGATCGAGCGAATTAGGAAAGGCCCTTTTGCCTCGCACGGAACACACAAGTTCGCTCTCGAGTGGACAGAAAGCCAGAAAGCCAGAAAGCCAAGCCGCTTGGGGGGCTATCTTTGAACTTGTCGTCGATCGCGCGATTTTTACTCTCCGTCGGAGCCGCGGAAATGTCGCGGCAGGAATGTTGTGAGAAAACTGACGCGGGCGCTTCGACCAGCGCACGTACGCTCGATTTCGCTCGAGCTCTCTCGCAGGATCCAGCAGAAGCCTGACTACCTAATAATAAAAGAAGCGGCGCGTTTACACCGCGAGTGTGCATCAGCGTTATTATGGGCGTCGAACGTGTCGTCGCTTGAATATCAGTACACGCGCAGGCCTTCCGACGGATGCCTTCCGAGGGTCATCAGCGGGAATTCGTCGGCCAGGCACGGTCTTGCGAGAGCACAAGACGTATGGCATACGTGAGCCCGCAACCGCATCGGGCGCGTGTTCTTCATTTGTATTCCGCGGGGGAGAGACATGATAGGGCGCAATGGGGAAATCACAAAAGAACCGTGCAGATAAGCCACGCTCACCTTGACGTGGTGGTCTATAAAAGAGCGGACGCACCTCGCGGCCCGATCAAATCGTACGAAATGTCCCGCTCGGTCGTCGTCCCGCTCGTGCTCCTCGCGCTCTCGCAGGCGGCCTTCGCCACCACCGTCGACGTGTCGAAGACGAAGACCGTCGAGTTGCAATTCACCGACGAGGATATCGTGCCGAAAACGGAATTGGTAAGTAAGCCGCCGGGCTGCGGCTTGTCAAGTATACTCGTGGTACACTTCGAGACGACTTTGCGAGTACGCAAATGCCCGAATGAGAGCGAATAGTGCAACGTTTCTTTCTTTTTCTCTTTTTCGTTCTTTCTCTTTTCGTTCTTCTTTGCTTCGAAAAGCAGTGTGTGACGTGTGTACGAACCGGCAAATAGCTTGAACGCAGCACTTAGCAATCAGCACGAAGCGTATCAATGTAGACTTTCGACAGGGCTGATTAGAGAACGTCACACTTGTCGCTTTTTGGAGCGCGAGGAGTAATCGCGGGGAGTATTCCGAGCAGCTAATTGAGACAGATACATTATTTGTATGTGAGGTTGTTAGGGAGAAATTATTACACGATATCGCGAAGGAAATATGATGCAAAGTATCATTGACGCGATCGCAGGAAGCAAAATCAATGAGAACAGTCTGTGAACAAACGTTTCGTGCCTATTCAGAAAAATCTGGTGCCTCAAACGTACGCTAATGGATTCATCGGAGATCTCGAGATTGGATCACGACTCAGGGATGAAACGATCTTTCAGCGAATCATCGTATTCAACAATCCGACGGATTATGTTCAGAGCAGCGAACTGAAAGTGAATGGCCCAGGTAAAGCAATTTTGCGTAACCGACATTTCTGCGTAACTTAATCCCGTGTCCGTGTTCGGTGGGCGTACAATTATTTATCAGACCGTAGGAAATTTCAGAAAGAGAACGTTACATTTATGAGATCTTAATGTCAGGTGACAATGTGGAAAACAACTGTGGACAATTACGAGCTTGAATATTCGTCTGTCTGTGCAGGAATCGTGCATTATATCAATGCTCAGAACTTCCAAGGCAGCTACGCAGTGGTGTGCGACCATTCGGACGCTCTAGGATCATCCAGGATCTATTTGACTATTCGCGTCAATCCCCAAACGAAATCTCGTATCTCTCTATTCGTAGCATTGCATTAATAAACGTGCGGCAAAATGTCGTTTCTCATTCTTTTGCTACCGTAGTTTGACCATTGTGGGGACCGATAACTAAATTGCGCGAATCAAAGCAGCATACATGCGACAAGCGATATATATTCAACAGCGATTATTTCGATGCGATAATTCTCTTTTAATACAGGACTGATACCGATTTCGAGTCAGTTCGAGTTGGGGAGCAAAAAAAAATAATGCTTATCGCGCGCACACGTTCTTCGCGTGTACTTCTGTTGCGCGAAAAATGACGAGAAGAAAGGCGCGAATTTGTTTTTCCTCTGACGACTAATCGAGCGCAATGAGAAATTTCTGTATACGTTGTCAGACTCTGCTAAAAGGAACGAGAATCGATCCTCACGCATCGACCACAGGTATCGCCGCCGTTGTATCACAATTCGTTCGTGTGCATGAGGAGGAGGAATAGTTACATTTTTATCTCTCGATTTGTATCAGCTCGCATTATATAGTAGTTTCATCTAGACTTTTGCCGCCATGTAAGTCGTCCGCTTGTACTTTGCACATTCGTTGATTGCGATGAATACGAAATAAAGCTATGCCGCTTCACCGTCGAGCAATCGTGTGCGTTAATGTCCCAGTTCTCCCAGATGTCCATGCAAAAATAGCTCATAAAAGAGCGACGTGCGATTAATATTGCGTAATATAATACGGGCACTAGGACAATTCTGCACGCGGCTCACGTATCGGCGCACAATGCGCGCGCGCGCGCGCGCGAACGTCGCGGCCACGCGTGCCAAATGCGAGTTTCATGAATACCATTTTCGCGGCGTCACACACCGCGCCACGGTGTAAGCATTTTTCCGCAAACAATAGCCCGCACACAAGATCCGATCCGCGTGTAATGAGAGACGGAGATTACTCGGCGCATAACAAACACTACCATTAGCATCGCGCCTCCTCGCCGAGGCTACAGGAAGCGCTTCGTCGCGCGAGTCTCTCCGCGAGATCGTCCTTCGTGTTTCGAAGGGCGCATTAGAGTGAAAAAGAGGCCAATGCGCGCACGCTTGGAGCATCGAACTGACCGTTGCGACTTGACTTGACTTCTATCTCCAAGTGGTGGAAGCAGCGACAATCTCTCTTGCGAGGTGTTTGCCTATTCTGATTTTGCTGAGCCGCGTTTTGGGCGATTCTACATGGGGCGCGGCGCATCCTACATGGAAATCGTCGTAAAATCGCGACGAACGATGTCGTAAAATCTATTTTGCTCGCTCGTCCTGCCGATGAGTCCGTGAGCAAACAAATTAAGGATAAACTCGCATTCTCCGAAACGCCATCCCTAGCGTCCCGCTGAACCAGCTCATTAATGCATCATCACGAATTTCCTCTCGTTTTCTTATTTGTCGCGTCAACATGCAAAACAGATATCCCGTCGCGAAGCGACGTTCTTATTCTACTTTTTTCTTCCGCAGCCGCGCGTAATTTAAGAATCATTTGCATTTGATAATTACAGCCGCGGCTCGCGATCGCAGAATTCTCCCTATCAGACGCAGAAAAACGAGAAGTCGCGAGATTCTTTTTCACATCGAGTAATGAGAGACTCGGAATTGAATTATTATTCGGAGACGTATTCTTTTTTTTTTTTTTTTTTTTTTTTTTTTTATACGATCTCAAGAGCGAGGATTTCGCCGACGGCTATGTGCTGCTTGACGTGTGACACACACACACACACACACAAACGCGCGCGATAAGTTTGTTCGAAGATAAGTATTGTGTGATATTTTTAAAGTAGTGATACGGCAGGTCTTTCGCTTAGCTTTAGCGCGTCCATTATCGATCTTGTCGACCTTGTTGCCGTGTTTCAATGCGAAGAGATTCATTGATATGTTTTGTGTTGACGGACTGATCTTTAAGGCTGACTGGTATCACCTGAAATTTCAATCGCAGTCTTTAATTGCGTGATTAAACTCCTCGATGCGAAAGTCAAAAAGTTACGCCGCTGTACGGTAATATTCCGGTTAAACACTAGTTGGGATCTTATTACAACGGATGTTTTCCGAAATGTGGCTTGTGATAAAACAGCGGAAACTGCACGATTTTCTCCTCGGCGAAATCGCAACTTGTCGCTCAAGTAGGTTTCTCCGGGAGTAAATTATTCGCTCCTACCGATAATAACCCGGTTTTCCTGTGCTTTGGCGGGTTCTTTGGCAGAATTAATTTTCAATATTCGCGCATCCGCCTGAGGGAAACGCGCCTGAGGGCCCGCTAATTGCATCGGTCGATGAAGATAAAACGTGACTTTTCTGTGAGACCAACGTCGTGAATGTGCCGTCACGCCGGAGGTTGCTGACCGGGAAGCTTAAATTGGACTATGGCCTCGTCGCAGACTAATGAAACTGTCTGTGCTTTAATTATTTATGCCTCGTAGGTTTTCACAGACAGCTCTGAAATTTCCATTCGATCGTGGCAAGATATTCATCGAATTCGTCGGATCTTGGACGGATTTGCTTTGAAGAGCTCAATCTCCAGCGGCGCGATGTATCATTGACACCGTGTAGCACTCGCGTGAATAAATTGTATCTGATGCAGACGCGTCGCGCTTAATTGCGTCAAGCAATCGTAATCGGCTATTCACGCCGTACGACGAATACGAACGTGCCAAGGTTTACCCGCTCCGCTCCCTCTAATGTCAATCGAAAAACGAAGAACTCGCGACTGTCGGGAAGATGTTTCATCAAACACCTATATCGACGTAAGGATCCTTAAGGAAGCAGCGATAAAGTTTGCGCCGTTCGTTGACGAAACGTAATTACGGTGAATTCTAACGAGGCTGCCGGCGATGCTCTCAGGTGAATGGGGAAGGGAAATAACGCTTTTAGGATTATAATGAAAACTGCCATAAACCCGTAGACTCTTCCGCGCTTCCAGCGACCTTCGATTCCGTCCTAATTGCGCCATTGGGTTCACAGCTCCCTTCTCCCCGTTTATTATGTCTGATATAGACGGAAAATGTCGTTCTTTATCCCGTTACAATGTGAAAAGGTGCGAGACAACCGGCAGCCTCGGCAGGAAGCGAAAGAGCTGAATTACTCGGCAACTAGCGACAAAAGTTGAGAAAAATTCGCGAGAGAGAGAGAGAGAGAGAGAGAGAGAGAGAGAGACGACTGGTTTATTACTCGAATCGGCAGAAAGTCCACGGCCAACCCTGCGTTGAATAATTCAAGTGGAATGTTAACTTGGGACGTAAGGTCCTGAGTACGTCGGGCGATAAACCCGGGGAACGTGCCAATAATTAAACGTAGCTAGGAGAAAATTCTCGAGCAATATCGTCAGGCGTTTCGAGAGCTGCGAGAGAGTGGCCGAGTAGTGACGTTTGCATATCGTAACGCCGAGTGGCAGAACTCGCGTAGATGTGCGATCTCATCCGCGGTGCCGCGTCGCGTCCAACCTCGGCCGTCGGAGTTACCTCTCGAACAGCAATTTGCTTAAAACACGCGCCGCGCTTTTCCGCGGCTGAGAGCGCGATCTAATAATCGCGAGTATATTGTGACTCGCGAGCGTAATTCTCTGATAATCCACGAGCAGCCCAGAGCTCTCGCGCGCAATCTCCTCCTTGACTACGCGCGTAGTCGCTAAAATATTTCCCGCCACCACATTGGAGCACCAGGGGAGGAGGAGAGAGAGAGAGGGAGAGAGAGAGAGAGAGAGAACGGAGCGATTTATAGTTTTTAACTAGCGAGGGACTACTAAGAGAGCGACGAAATTCTCTCAACTCGTCGCGTCTCCTCGAGAGAGATCTCCTTCATAACACACATAAGACACGCTCGCGCGAGCGTAGCCATGCTTGCCGTTGCCGGCCGTTTGAAGTCACTTAACACGCTTAAATGTATCTAGTTACCAAGCTTAAACGTGACGCGAATGGCGTGGCTTAAAACGGAAAGATCATCCTTTAGAATTTCCAAATGACGCACTTAGATTCACAGATTGCGTTCTCGTTCTCTCACACAGCAGATGCTTCTTAGAGGCTTCTTAGAGAGGCGTAGCGACTAACTAGATTACGATATAATCGCGTTAACATGATAGCAAAATCGATAGTTTGTATCGTCGTTAAGATATCTGGCTGTCGCTAGTGATTGATGATCGCTCCGACGCTCGTCCAGATCATTGCTCGCCCAAGTCTTCAGCGACGATTACACTCGGCTGCGCCTAGAACTGACGGAATCCCAAACGCAATATCATTAGACGTATCGCATGGGAGTCGCGAGATGGGTTTGGTCGAATTATCCCGGGTGTTAACCCGGTTACACCATTGCGGCCATCGGTTTATAGCGTTCGCGGTAGCGTAGCATTCCCGAGAGGTGCCGCACCATCGGCGGCACTATCGTAGCCGAGGTAACATTACTTACGGGGAGCGAGCTGGAAATTCCTCGACAAAACGACCGAACGCGCGACGTTCCTCGACCGTTAGGGGAGCTTCTATCCGATCGGGACTTTTCCGCGCCGTAAACGGTAAAAGAAAGAGAGAGAGAGGGAGAGAGAGAGAGAGAGAGAGAGAGAGCGTGTGTGTGTATCGTGGCCAAGAGGCCGTAGGGGACACAGAAATGGCTCGACACACCGGACCTGGAATCCGGTAGAATCTTTCCAAAGAGCCGTATTATCTATGCTCACAGTATTACTTGCTCTGACGAGGTTCACCACCACGAGCGGTGGCTCGCTCGAATTCAGCTTCTCCGTACACACGGAAGCTAACCTGGAAAAAAATGGAACGGTGAGTAGCGGTGTTGTACCAGTTGGTACACGTGCGCTGATGCGCCGTTCCATTTAGTGCCTGGGTGCCATTTGGTGTCACCGTTCACTAATGTGAGTTTCTCTTTACCGTTGCGTGTGTGTGTGTGTGTGTGTGTGTGTGTGTGTGTGTGACATGATATTAGTGTGCCGTGTATAATTGTATGTTACAGTATGATTATACTATTACATCGCAGTGTGTAATTCTGTTGTTTATATCGTAATTGTAAGCGATAACAATTCTGGGTAACCCCGTGTAGAACCGCTGGAGTAGAACAGCATCATGGTGTTTCTCCCCGCCTGTCGCACGACTGGCGACTGAAGGGATGGGATGGCTGAGGATTAAGCGTCCTCCTCCGGAAAAAGCTCCGGTGCAAGGAACGTCGAGAAGAGAGAGAAATGTTGGATATGTTCATGTTACATTTATATTTATATTGATTTTATTCGTTCTCGTGTTTTGCCACAGTGATATTAGAGTTATCATTGAAACTTGTCCACTTTTTAATATCTTGCCGCGCTGATCGATGTGGGAATTTTTATACCGATAGAAAGATATAGTTGAATTAACTATAATCTCACTATATTTTTTAGTTCATTTTGGCGTCAATCATATTTTTATAGTTCGTGGAATCTGCAAAATACAGTAGAATAGAAACACAAATATATAGTCAATGATTGTCTTAAATAATTGTTTAGTTACTTTCACCACATATATGGTAATTTCTCATTCACAAATACAGTGAGATTTAATATTCATATAGTTACATCTGTCATCATTTAGCAAATATTCTGGTAATATTGACTATATAAAAGAGTTACTTTACCTACCATTTTATGGATTTGTATCCATACAATAATTTTGGTTTAACTTACTATAATTCTTAGTAAAAATATTATATGGTTGATTATAATACTATGCCTATATCGTAATTATTACCGATATTACGGCAATGCTTGCTATAAATATGATATTTCGGACTAAAATAATTTAGTTACTATATCATTATAGTTCCAAATATCGTGTACTTTTCTCTCGGTGTGTCAGGAGAGGTTTGAATTTTCGCACAGAAGCTGCACATCACTTCCCGCAGGAATTCGCGTTTGGTGACCCGAACGGAATTCTTAATTTTTTAAATAACAGACCGAGGCTCGGCGGCGAGGTCGCTTTGAAATGTATCGAACATCGATGTTCCACGACGACGCGGGTAATACTTTCCGGGAAAATTGCATCGGGCATGCCGGATCGCGTTCGCCACTGTCACTCGGAAATGCGTCCATGATCCTTTGGCATTATCGGCGAAACGAAGTACCAGATAACTGTGTTACGAGTCAATCTCTCCGCCAAGAATAAGCAAGTCCCCCCGGAGGCTTTGATGGAGATAGCAGCAGCGATTCTTATTCCGGTCGCGAAACATTCGACGCGAACCCGTCTAGTTCGCGGTATTCTTAACTTCAATCTTCGCGGAGATTTCTGCCCGTAACTTGTAACTGATTAACGACATTTCACGAAAGGAGGATGCAACTTGCACAATTTAATACGTACAGCGCCTTCCATTCGCGAGCCCGCCGTGAGACATCAAGCGCATGTACTATTTGCGAAGAGTTTGAGGAAATTGTTCTTCACCGATCGCACGATTAAATTTGGAATCTAGTTGACGTTGGAATTTTTATAGCGATAGTTGCGTTAATAGTTACATCAATAATTATATTGATAGTCCTTGAACGGGAGTGTCTCGCGATAAAATTGTTCACTTTTACGCGCTTCTTAGGCCTTGCTTTATTTTCGCCTAGGAGTAAGGATTTATTTTCAGAACATCTCGATGCAAATCCCTTTCCGATATATCTCTTCGACAGGGTATTATATTTTCAACGGCATTTGCTCGCATTGTAGTCGACTCGCTGATATTTATATTCGCGAAGAGAAGCGCGAATAGGAAAAGCGTGTATCTTTACTGTTCACAATTTTAGACGGTTCGTGTGATTAATCGAACTTCTCCGCGCGGAGCAGCGCCACATGCGAAACGGTGGGTGCGATTCAATCGATCGGAAGATGACAACGTCGCCGCACTCGTTGGTGATTTATTAAGTCGGCCAAGGTTAGTACTTAATAGATTGTGCATCTAACCGCAAAACTCGTCGAAATCGTCGAAATCAAGATCGTTCGCTTGCGCAATTATCATTACGCGAGAAATAGAAACCTGACGTTAGTTTTCCCTTCCGCGTATGTCGTTTAAATAAACGAGACGAAAGGTAGAAAGGGGTTATATTTGGCAACGAAACGAATCGGTGAAAAGTGCAATGTAGCCCCGGTGCGCTAAAAATCCAGCCGCAAAATTCGCCGATTGAGCGAAACGGCGACGTCATAATTGCGTGTCACACGCAGGAATACAACGCAGCGAGTCATGGAAATCACGTAGTATTGAATTTGCCAGTCACTTTGGAGCGCCGTCACGCGCCCTGCGAGCTTTAGAGAACCCTCGGCACCGCCGCGAAATCTTATAATGAGCTTACCAAGCTGGGAAGCCTTATATCAGCATGCCCCGCGGCAAAGCAAACGCGAAAAGCGGCAAACCGTCGGTGGCAGTTGTTGCGTGTGTCGCACGTCGCGCGGATTTTACGCGCCGTAAAAAGAAGAGCAGGAGGAGGCAGAGGGACTCCGCAGGCAAGAAGAGCGGACTCTCCTTCGTGGAATCGACGGCGGCTCGAGGACGAGCTCGTTTCACGCGACTGCGATTTATCGAAGAAAGGGGAGGGAGGAAGATCGACAGAGCGCGGTGAGTTTCTTCGCGGTGATTACATTCTAATCGGAGAGCTGAAAGCGAAGAGAGAACGTGTCCCGTCCTCCTAAAAATCCACGTAATCTCGCGTAGAAACAAATTGATGGGACGCAACGGGAGTCCTAATTTCTCCTTGCATTCCGTTGCATCGGCATGAAGATTGGCTCGGAGAGCTGATCGGAAGCTGGCTCGATCCTTAACTGAAACGAGAGACCTTTCCCAACGAACGCGCACATTCTTCAACACGTACGTCGGCGATTTAGCCGCGGATTAGCGCTTGGCAAACTCGGCTAAATGTATCGCATCGAATCGCTCTGCTGCTTTCTACCATCGACCTCACTGCAAAGCCGCGATCAAGTGTCACGACCTGAAGTATATTTTCAGTTCTCTCTCGTATATCTGCGAGTCCGTCTCTCCTTCAATTATAACCTGATCAAATATTTGGCAATTTGGTTTGCCGGGACGAGAGGTGTGATACACGTCGATGATGGCTGGTATTTACCAAGTGCGGCGTATAAAAGCAACAGTGGATTAAACTTTCGTAACTGCGCGCGCACGCGCGCGCTCACGATGAAATGATCCGATCTACGACGGAGGGATGCGCTCTGAGAGAGAACGAGGGCTCGCGTCGGACGCGTCGTCCTCCATAGAAACGATGGTGCGCGCAGCTCCGGGCTGACCTTTGCCGATAACCGCCTCGCCGTTTGCTGACCGCAAGCGGTCCGGGAATCTGCGTGTTTCGTCGCATTTTACTCTCACTCACGTCTCTCACTCTGCCGTGTGCCGTTTTTCGGCGAACCGCTCGCCCTCAAAATCGCATCGTTATACGTCGGGGATCGCGTTACGTCGACGTGAGAGAGTCACTTGGGCCGCGGTGAAAATGAGAGACGAGAGGTGAAAATGGATTGAAAGGTAACGTTACTCCATTCGAGAGATGGAGCGAGGGGGAGAGACAGACGAATTGGCACGCGGCGGGGCAAAGTTACGTTCGCGCCGCTGGCGCGTAGATCGTTGGTAGTATCAGTAATTTATTACTCGTTACACTCGAGATAAGCGCATGCCCCTGCGGCAGATTTTCCACTCGTGGATAGAAGAGCCTCGTCCTTGACGGTCTTGCGACGGTCGGAATAGTTCCGTCACGGACGCAAATCTCGCAAATCGGCCACTCGAGGGAGGGAGGGAGGGAGGGAGAGAGGATGCCATTTCGTTTCTTGCTTGCCGTTACACTTGCCGCTATCGAGCAGTCCTCGTTTACGTGTGCGTATCGTTTTCGATAACGGCCTCGAAGCCGGCCGATGCGCGCTCGCATAGGAATAATGAGCCAACGAGCCAACTTTTCTAACTGGTCGTCCGACGGTCGGCGGACAACTTCGTAAGTGGAGCAGCGTACGTACACAACGTACTGTACTGTTACCTCGTAGTGACCAACTTTCGCGCTCGTGACGCAACATAGCGAATCGATTTAATTATAGGACGAGCAATTATGCAACTATCGCCGACAATCGACCCTTCGCCGGGCCCTTCGCGTTGCTCGATCTTCGCTCGCGACGCTGCAAGTTCCAGTGCGTGCTGTTTTTACACGGGCGCAAGCGCCCGTAATTGGCTGAAGCTTTTCTTCGTGCGTTTCATATCGCCTGAAATCGTATTACCGACGCGTTTAAGCGACAAGACAAGAAAGCGAGACGTGAGCTAACCCGAGGAAAGTTACGGCCAATTACGCAGTGCGTGTAAAAATAACGCACAGTCGGATCTGCGCGCTGCCTCTTATCTGATTCTCGCTTTCACGGGTAAGCGCGCGCTTATCACGCGCGATTCCCCTTCACCGTAACGTTTAAGCACGTGAGATTGCGCTGCTCGAAGCGCCGTGTATGAAATCGCTGTAACTCCAGTTTCGGACTCGGACGGCATCCACGACGATCCTGCGATTCGCTGCGCCGATTTCGTGCAGCAGTCTCGTAGCTCGCGGTGAACAAAGAGCGACTTTTATCAGGCCTTTGCTTCCCATGACGAGGCACACGGTAGCCTCGTACAGTCCGCGAGCGAGAAGCGATACAAAATCAGTCATCTATCGACTCGCCCCGTTTCTACCGACGCACCCTTTCATTTATCCGTTACAAAGGCGTCGAGCGAGCGAGCGAGCGAGCGAGCGAGAGAGAGAGAGAGAGAGAGAGAGAGAGAGAGAGAGAGAGAGAGAGACGACGCGCATGGGGGAGCGTTCTCCGTCAAATTCAATTACAATCGAGCATCGGCCTTAATGCGCTCCGACTTGAGATTTTCCACCGTTCATCTGGCCGCTCGCGAGCCGAGCCGTTCGTATCCGCTATTATTCGTCATTGGACTGTGAACAATGGAGCAAAATTTTGGTAACTAGCCAGTCACTGGGAAAGACGGCGCGAGGGCGACCAGAGAGGCTGAGAGGGTGAGACAAGGGCGCGAGAGGGGTCGGGAGGGGAGAGGTAGAGCATTGTACAGAGAAACGGTCGTGCTCGGCGGTGAAGGCTGCTCTCCGTCGATAACGATTCCGCGCTGCTCCTCTTCCTCCTCCTCCTCCTCCTCCTCCCCGCAATTCCTCCCTCCTCGCTGCGATACCGTGAACTTTGATCTACCTCAGGATCTATATAATTCTATTCGTCCATACTTTCGTTTCTTCCTCTTTCGCGCTCCTCCCCGCCTTCGCGATCGGAAGGGTAAGAGACGCGAGATGGAGGCGAGAAGACGCTCTCGATGCCGTGAGATCCGGTGAATTAGAGTTTGAGTTGCAAGTGACGCGGCGAGCAATATTACAGTTGCGAGTTGCAGAGAATTGCATAATTTCCCGCGGCGACAAGCGCCGTTCAACCGAGCGTTTCCGCGCGAGAGCGGAACACTGAATACGTATATTCTATAAGAGACAAGAAAGGATTCTTTAAATCAAAGTCGTGCCTGTTTCGCGGCAATTGTTACCGCGCCGCCGGCAGATATTGATTCACGTATGTCTTCGAGATGTACGTAGCGTGCTACGTATTCTATATAAAAGACAGAAAAGGCTTCTCGAAATTAAGGGTGTCCCTGTTTCGCGCGACAATTGTCAGCGCGTGCCTGCCAGCGGCGGGGTTGTTGCTTCGCGTGCGTCTTCTAAACATACGTGGCGTTTCGTAATCGTTTGTAAAGCGTTTCGAGAGGACGTTTCCGATCGGAGGTTCCGCACGAGTCGGTTATATCGCGCGCACGTGGAACACGTGTTCTCGTGAATTCGTATAATTTTGTGCGGTGTAGCGCGAAGATGATGCAGCCGACGGCTGTTATACACAAATACGCGAGATTCCCGTCCATGGTAGTGCAGCTCGTAGAGGCGCACACACACACACACACAGCCGTAGGCGCGCGCCTTCACGATGAATCTCAGCGTTGAAATTGATACTTGCAGATGATCGCCGCATGGTCATCATGAAGAAACGCGGAAGCAACGAGAAGGGTGGCAAGAGTCGCCGGGACGGAAGCATCGCGACGGAAAAGGCGGACACCGCGAATCTGAGCGACGACGAGAATCAAGGCTTCGGAAGCTGGCTGCGCTCCGGCACCGGCATAGAGATGATGCGACTCTTCGTGATCGCGAATTCGATCCTGGTCTTTGTCACTATGGCTTGGCCGAACATGAAAGAGTCCTTTAACATTATTAAGGAGTACTTGGTGGGGGAGGAGGAGTAAATCGACCACGACCGAGATTACGCTCGAATTCGTCGGGGGAGTTGCTCGCGGTCGGAGTGGTCATTGATTTCTTGAGAAATCGAGATCCTTGAAGAGCGGTATTATATAAATTCGACCAGTTCGAGGCAAATAAGAGCGCGTTACTCTTAGGTAACGCGTTATTCAATCGCCATCATCGCAGCGCTCAGGCGTACCTCTTAAAATCGACCTTTTATCTTTGATTAAGCTTCGTGCGAAGCGTTATCAGCGCTGCTCGTGTTTCACGTTCAGCGCCAAAACTGATACATACCAGAATCGATCGCGATAGATTGCGGATAGACATCGAGGCTCTGATAGCAGATCGCTGTTCCACAGCGACATAGTCATCGATGACGTCGTTCGTTGCCGATGATCCGCAGGGCAGGGAGTAAAAAAACATGTTGGGGTTGGTACATGGGGGGCGAGATCGATGCGACGAGGGACGACGAACGAACGAAGCGACGGCGAATATAACCGTCGGCTTTCAGAACTTTTAATATCCGTGGAAATACCAGAAGCGTACAGACGTTTGACAGAACTTTTTTTTCACGCGGCATTTGAAAGTCAGATGCACGGATCGCGTGATATTTGTGCAAGATAAAGCCCCATCCCCACTCTCCGTCCCTCTCTCCCTCTCTCTCTCTCACACACTCAGGCCGCGGCTCCCTTGCTCGAAAGTTTCCCATCACGTAGGAGCGAGCTCCACCGGTAAACATCGAGTGAATAACTTTCAATGGAGCCGGCGAACAAATCAATTTGCCGTAGCGGATGATTTTAATACTCGATTCGCCGAGTATCAGGCAGCCATTTCACGACACAGTGCTCCCCGAAAATCAAATCACATTCCTCCGCAGCGAGTCGTAATGTCGCTCTCGCCGAGCTAGATGGCCAGCTAGACGCTTTAGAATATATCCCTTCGACATTGACACCATAATCGCAACTCGACTTTATCTGAATAGAGTTGACCACGTCCGAGAGGCCGCATCATGTTAGCTTTCGCCGTTCGCGGGGTGGTCCTGCTCGGCGTGCTAAGCTGGTATAGCGCCACCGTGTGGAAGATGATCGACGGTTACTTCAAGGACCAGTTCCGGACGTACTTGCAGGAGGAGTACCGCAAGTATCCGCGGATGCGCTCGGACGTGGAGAAGGCCGGAGCGGTCGATAAGGAGCCGGCTCTGGAGGCCTTGCCAACCGAGTCGAGCACCTACGTGGAGATCTACGCTCCCGACGCGGTCTGCCCGGCCGACACGGCAGACACCTGTCCACGTGCGACCGCTTCGGAGGCAGCGGCGGCGGCGGCAGCGGTGTCGGCCGTGGCGAAAGAAGTGACAGGTGGTAGCAGTGAAAACGCGGCCGCCGGTTCCACCGATAAAAATGCATTCCCCGAGAGCGCGAGCCGATCGCCGCTGGAAAGTAGGAAGCTACCGGACGGCAGCAGCGACACGCATGACGGCGAGCGGCGGTCGAACGCCATCAATCAGGGCGACGGTCACGAAGAGGAGGCGACCGGGTCGCCCCCGACGTCGCCCCCGCGTCCCGTGAAACCGCGACGACGCTACGACAAGAGGAAAGCCTCGACGGAGCTCTCGCGGGAGAAGCCGGCGAAACGAAGAGTGAACACGATCGTCCTGACGGACGCCGATTTCGAGAGGGCGAGGCGCAGCGATGACGGATACGACTTCTCGGAGTTCGAGGACGTCGACGAAGAGGGCCGGAAGGTCCTCACGGAGGGGATCCTCGTGTCGGATCTGCCGTTCAAGCCCAAGGCAGATATCGGCAACTTGGAGAGGGTCACCGCGGAAGAGTTCTGTCCTTTGACCTTGGAGGACGAGGCTTCCTGCGGAGAAACCACCACGTGGCCGTGATTATGCCTGATGCGTGCGTCGCTCGAGCGTGTTGAAAGTGTCGAGTTGTCCGGAAAAACTTACGCGCTAACAGCGGAGTCCCGAGGGCGCTTGAGGACACGCGCTGGGAGAGAGAGAGAGAGAGAGACAGATGAGGCGGAGGACTGCGACTATTATTAGAATAAATCTGTTCAACCAGTTCTACAGCTCTCAGTTAGGGACAATGACGATAGATCCTGCGCGCAGACGTTTTCAAGTTTTCTGCGCGTCTGTCGAGGTGATCCAGTTCGAGTTGGAATGAAAGGGACTAAATAATGGTTTGATCGTAATAATATGATTTGATCGTGACTTTTTTAAGTAGCTCTACACTTTGCTGTTATGCCGGTGCGTGGGAAAAAATGCCGTCGAGTCGATAGAATTGATCGACGACGGCGGCGGCGGCGTGTAATTGCAGCAAATTTTTCTTTTATTAAATGGCAGTATTGCGGAAGAACTAATATGTCATGCGTTGGCTTGATAACTCGAATGTTAGTTTCAATAATATTGCTGTAGAATCGAAAAGATTTATTTCGATCACAGGTAACAATTGTCGATCAGTTCTATCGGTTCAACAGCGTTCTTTTCCGTGTATTCGATAGATTAAGTCTTATAATCAAGTTACTTATCCTTATATAAATAACTTGTTCTCTATGTTATGAAGATGAAGATATTAGCATATGAAGACATGAAGATATGTCGAGTCATAAATATATCAATATGCATTTACTACAACATTGTGTCGAAAAGATAATACGTATGTGCATCCATCTTGGAGACTGAAGTTCCTAATTGTTCCTCGCCGATATCCCCTATCTTGTGATGCCGCAATGAGCCTCGTTGCATCCGCTCATTTATTCACGGTAACCGATTGATAGAAAATTGACCGGGACGGGGAAATTACTACGTACGTTGCGTGGAGTCAAGTTTTCGCTGCCTAAGGGAGAGAGATATTTCGAATCCAGGACAACCGCGAGCGACTCGGCGAGTCGAGGAGGGCCGCTAAATAGGCGCCGCGCTGTACTTTGACCTTGCGAGAGAAGAGGTCTGAACGAGGAGAAACTATCGGAGTGGCCGTGAGAAATCAGAGAAATCGCGATTTACGGTGCTGCATCATCGCAGTGAGAAAATCGGAAATGCGTATCGGGTCGCGCGTCGTACGACGAGTAATGTCGATAAACGCGAAAGCGAAAAAGCCACATAATGGCCGACACCGACGTATCGCATTAATTAACGCGCATCGGGTGGCGGGCGCGTGGGAGATGCCCGGTGAATCTAATCTCGCCGGAGGATAAGATCGAGATAATTTTCGTCGGGAGATTATTGTATTTCGTTTATCGAGCCGTAAGACCAACGGCCAGCTAATAATAAAGCGGACCGGGTCGCTGTTTCTGGCAACGTCGCGTGTCGCGGGAGTGAAGTAATAACTCTCCCCGTAGAAGGTATGACTTCGCACACGTGTCCGCCGACAGAAAGAGTCGCGTGCCTTTGCAGTGAGTGAACGAAAAGTTTATATTTTAGCATTTAAGTTAACAATAGCGCCTCGCACCGTACACCGCGCCTTCTCACACTTGGCCGAGAGAGAAAGAGAGAGAGAGAGAGGAGAGAGAGAGAGAGAGAGAGAGAGAGAGAGAGAGAGAGAGAGACGGTTTTCCAGCGGCGAGTCATCGAGAAGTCGATCGTTTATCAACGGATACACGCCGGCCAACAGTTGATGCAAATCGGCTGTGCCAACAGCGCCGACGCGACGCCAATACAAATGCGCGAGGAAAATTTATTCGTTATTATTGAACCGCAAGAGCGGTTAATTCAAGGCCGTGTTCCGTACGCGGCTTCCGTCTCTTCAATTTACGCCGCGCGCCGTTTGACGACTTTTTTACCCGAGATGTCATCGAGATATGCGATCTCGCGTGCGTTTCGCAACTTCGCGGCACGTGTAACGAGAAATGCGTAACGTTAACAGCGGAAATTGATCCGGCTCGGGCGGGAATCGTTTTCTCCCAGCGACGAAATCCGAGGCATCCGGGCAGCGCGCGCGGTGCGCTGATAAACGATCGCGACGCGCGAGCAATGGCGAGTCGCGCTCTTAATCTCGCCGCTGTTTCGCCGCGCAACGGTGTCGACGCTGGAAATTAGACGGTTCGCATTAGCACGTGCGTCGAAGTGGCTTTCGTCACCTTGGAGAGACGTTCCGCGGCAACCGACTGCGCGCGACTCGAGTCGCTAATAAGCAGTCGCTAAATGCACGCGGTATCGATTGCATTGAAAAGCGATGACGTCCGCGGTAACGCACGGGAAGAATACCAACAACATCGCCGGGCCGCGAGAGGCAACGAACGACACCGCGCGCGCGCACGGCAGCCTCGCCGGCTTGTCGCTCGTCCGTCTCGAGCGCGGCCGATCACTGAGAGACGACTGAATTAATCGACCAATGACAGCTTTCGCGAGACGATTAACGGTACAACGCCGAAGCGAAGTCGCGAGACTAATTGCGACGTTTGAGCGCCGGTGAGAGCACCGGCGCGACGTCTCTCCAAGTCGGCGTCCGAATGCCGAACGGAGCGCGACGCGCGTATTTACTTTCGATTATTTTCGACGTTCACGCGAGCCGCGCTCGCGCGGTTTTGCGAAGCGTGTCTAACGCTAACGACGCTCCGACGACGAGGAGGAGGAAGAGGAGGAGATCATTTCGAATCGAGAGCGCGCAATATATCGTTGAATTGTGCGGCGTAATAAGAGCAACATATGCGCGCGTGTGCGCGTTCGGCGTGCACCTACACACGCAAGCCGGTGTGATAGTGTGAGGAAAAGGAATTCTAAGTACGGAGATTGGATATGTTCGGTTCGCGGTTGGTCCCGTGGTACACACAGACGCGCAACATACAAGGGCAGTCTGCAAAGTTCTCGGCCTAACAATGGAAGAACATTTTTTTGTCGTGAAATATATTATTTTATTTTTCAATATAATCTCCTGAGACTTCAATACATTTATTCCAACGTTTTTCCAATAATTCAATACCATCATTAAAGTGCGATTCCGGAAGGTTCTTTTCGCTCTGGTGTATAGTGGGTGGATCCAAGTTTCATCAACAGTTATGAAACGACGCTTGAAATCCATTTTCCGTTTTGCTTAAAACGATCCACGCGTTGAGAAATACGCGTTCGAATGCGTTTTTGCTCAATTGTTAGCAACTGGTGCTACTACTCGAATGATTGGACAGATCGAATAAAATTTTACACGGGTTTATATATCAGAGATGCCACTTTCCGATACAATTATAGTCTGACAGTTTCTAATGCCACGTATGTGTCAGGTCGAGAACTTTTCAGACTGCTTACGTATATATGTTACAAGTAAACCGGCGAATAACGAACGCCGATCCCGGCCGTCCAACTCACCGAGTGCGCGTCAGGTTGAATTTCTCCGGAATACCGAATCGCGGCAATCTCTCTCCGTTCTTCCGTCTGGCGTGATTCTGCTCGCGCTGCGAGCTAGGGCGTTTAATGTAGCCGCGGCACAGCTTCGTTTACGCGACCGGCGATCGTCGTCGCGTACGTTCTAATCCCAGCTTCGATATGCAGGTCGACGATCGCAGCCGTGGCGGATCTCGGAGCGGCTGGCGCGGTACACGCGCCGTTGTACGTCGGGCGGATTTCTTCTCCGAGCGTGTGTCACGCGCGGACGGAAGAACGCGCGTGAAGTAACGCGCGTCTGCTCGCGACCTGTTCGTTCGATCGATCGCGCATGGCCGATGGCGCGATTTCCGCCCGGCCGCGATCGTCGGCATAATTAGAGGCGCGCCGCGCCGCGCCGGCGCGGCGTAATCGAAGATCGCGCCTGCAAAAATGCGCGCGGCGGCGGCGGCGGCGGCGGCGCTGGTCTGTGAAAACTGCTCGCCGGGGAGTCGTTCTCGCAATTTTGCGGAAATGCAATTTTGTGCGTCCTATACGAGGGAAAAAAGAGTTTGGTCAGCGCGAGGACGAGGAAAAAATTCCGCTCCGATGGCCGACTTGTCACTTGTCGTAGGAATTACTCGGAGGTTATATAACGATGCGTTCCGCATCTCTCACGGACGTTGAATAAAATTGCGAGAAGCTAGTAAGCATTTTGACCTTTGCATAATGCGTGTGTTTTTTTTTCTCGAAAACCCGTCACTCTTGGAGCGCTTCGCCTGGACAGAAGTAGGTCGCGTTAATAAGTCGTTAATGATCCCGTCGTCGTGTTGACGCGACAAACAAACGACGCAATCGCGTTTCGGTCAAAGGGGACGGAAATTTGCGCCGAACTCGGCCCGCGGGGCCTCCCCGCGAAATTCAATCCTCGGTTCGTTCGTTCGTCACGCCGCCCCGGCGCGGCGCGGCCGGCGCCGCGCCGACTCGACTCGACGCGATCTTTCTTGCCCGCTTAACAACGCGGTCCATTTCCTCGTGTATATGACGCCGCTGTGACGAGCCGCGGCCGCGGATGCGCGGAGTAATTTCCTAATGTAATTGAGAAGATACACCGGCAATGGCCTCGTTACGTCGGTCGTCGATTTCTCGCAACGACTTCGCGCTCCGATTTGGCGCCACGCTTTTTTACCCGTCCTTCTTGCACCGGGAATTATAATGCGGACGGTGGCGCGGCACAGCGTAGATATCGCGATCCACTTCCGGGCAGCGTGGCGAGCTCGATCGAGGAAGAGTCGTACACGCTCGAGTCGGCCTTTACTAATCGCGCGACTTTGGCGTGATGTATACGTTACATTCGCCGGGAGGCGAACGATCGATGCTCGCGCTCTCATCGGCCGTAATATCAGAGAGATTTAACCTCGTCGTAGCGCTTCGCTATTTAAATACACGCGCTGCGAGGTGCACGCGTACGTATGTACGTATGTACGTGACTCGGCTACTCGTGTTTTCGTCTTGCTTTCACGCCAATTATCCGCTGCGCGTCCCAGAAACTCCACAGTCTCTCGCCTTTAATCGCGGCCTCACCGATATACGAGGTCCAGTTTTTTGGCAGACGATTCTTTTAGAAACTTCCCCGCGACGCGGGGGGAATAGCGTCGGGCTACTGCAGGTCCTTCGCACACTTCTTCGAGGAACAGAGCCCGACTGCCCGGCTTTCTCAGCCTGACGCTTTCAGCGGGAAGAAAGCCCCCTGCTTTCTGGCGTGCCGCCGCCGCCGCCGCCGCCGCCGCCGCCGGTGGTGATCCTCTCGACGTTTCCGTCCGCGTTTTCAAGCTCGCGTCCGCGCGCGCGAGCAATTACGCGGCGGCACGCAAATGAACCGTGAAGCGCGCGAGTCGCGAATCGCGGAGAAATTTCTAGTTTCACTTTTGCGCCGCGCGCCTGCCGCGTTTCCTTCCTTTTTCCTTTTGTCGCTCACGCGGTCGCATCCCGCGGTCGCGGAATGGATTTTCCCCGACGGGGATTATATCGGACGCATCGATTACGACGCCGCGAGCGTGTCTAATTGGATCACCCGCGGGCGATTTGGGGTGTGACGATTATTTACACCTGCGTGCGAGGCCGCTGGAGCGGGGCTTCCGCCGCGCGCCGTGTTGGCGGGCTAAAAATCTCGCACGTGCGAGATTGACTCGCAAACCGGTGGACGTAGGTCGTTTCACGCAGGGAGCTCGACAGCTCCGGAATTTGCGCGTCCGTACGCTGAAAAGCGCGCATCGCGAATTATGCGAATTCGACGCGATGATTCGAGCCGACAGGATGGCGATCCTCTCGTTCAATTGCCTCGCGACATTGTTCGAGATTATATGGCGTCGCGGTTACGCGGCTTCCGAACTGCCGCTAATGACTCCTTCATTTACTCGCGAATTGCGCTGCTGGATTGCGCTGGAAACTCGCTGGAGACTCGCCGCGATCGAATGCGATTTATCGGCCGCGTCGCACTTGACGATCTCTCCTCTCTCTCTCTCTCTCTCTCTCTCTTTGCTCGGACCGCGCCGAAACCGTCGTTTCGGCCAGCAAGAGAACTTCAACGCCGTCGGAAACGTCATTTGCCGTCGCAGCGGTGACTCTCCTTCTTTTCGCCGGGTGAGTCATACCGACATAACTACACGACTCTCGCATCAATCGTTTATGCTGGAATTGTATGGCTGGAAACGACGTGAACCGGTATCTTAGCGGAGCACGCGCGCATCTTAACGCGGCCCGGTCAACAATATAGGCCCAGATGTCACGTGAAGATTATGGGCAACATTGTGCTAGACTCTCCTGGCAAACGGAGCGCGGGAGGAAGACAAAAGGAGAGGGAAAGAGAGAGAGAGAGAGAGAGAGAGAGAGAGAGAGAGAGAGAGAGAGACAGAGACTTTCGCTTCGAAGTCGTCGCACGTGAGTCTCGGTCTTCGAAACTCGTCTGTCGGCCAGAAGGAACGTCGCGCCTCGTCGTCTCCGTAATACTCCGTAATACGACACGCGCGGCGCGAAGACGCGCGATCGTAAGCGTATTCATTTTCCTCTAGCGCGCGAGCCGCCGCGCCGGTACCTCGCAGTCGGTGAGTGAACGACCTTAATGCAACGGTATTTGTGCACGATTTTCAAAGCACGTACGTACGCGACAACGGCGTCGAGGCGTCGACGCGTAAGGTCGCGCACGCCGAAACCGCTCCGGTTACGTCGTACGTGGGTCCGCCGTGACAGTTTCGAATTCCCGCGTTCTCGCGAGGGCGCGAACGAACGGTACAGGTTTGTTTGCCATCGCGCTCAACTGGCTGCACCACCTTGCGCTAGTTCTCTTTTCCTCTTTCTTTTCTTCTTCTTTCCCCGGCAAGTCTCTGCCGTGACAACCTGTCTCTTTTTGAGCGCCGAAAGCGCGCGCTACAGTTCAGCGACAGCGGACGAACGCTCGCGTTTCGACGCACACTAGGAAAAATGTATTGCTGCGTGGACCAAAATTTTGTTCTGACAACAAAATAATTTGGTTAAAATATGCCCGACAAAACTATTTAGTTCCTGTAAGCAAATATCTTGTTTGATTACGGTATGTTCGGTATAACGTAATACGCTTTTGTTGTAGCAACCAAAAAGCTTCAACTGTATGAATTTTATTAAAAATATTATAATTTTTTCTTAATATGTAGGATCTAAATTTTAGTGCACAGAAAGACAAAATAGTATCCATTGGGCATTATTTTAATTTATGTAAAATAATATTTCGTTGTTATGTAATTTTTATGGATAAAATAACTAAAATGCTTAATTTTTATATATGAAGTCTGAGAACAAAATCATTTGGTCCAGAGAACAAAGCAGAACAATATATTTAGTTGAGACAACTAAATATTTTGTTATAAAACAAGACATTTTGGTAGAAAACAAGATGTTTGGTTGGCTATTAAAAAATACCTCAACTAAACAGTCTTGTTAGAGATACTAAATTTTTTTCCTAGTCTTGAGACGCAATCGGACCGGTGCAATCGACCAGCGAAGCTGGTCTGTGAGACGTTTCCTTTCCACGGCGCGACGTGCAGGATTCAGACGTGGTTGAGCCGAATATTTATTTAAAGATCATTTGCATGCGTGTACACGTTGTTTTAGATAATTTATTGGAAGGCGCGTAACCGGAAAGGAAACGTCGCAATGTATAAAAGTCACACTCTGCAATATCAATTCATCCATTAAGGGCCCGAAACATGAAAAATACATGATAACCGTAGCGCTTGTATATTTACCAAGCCGCAGATATTTTTCCACCAAGATTCGCGCCATAGACAGCTACTCACGTTTGCTTCATTTGTCGCATGGTGTCACACAGCCACATGCTTATTCTTTCCTTCATTCATTGACTGTCAGAGAGACGAACCGCTCGCTTCCGCGAGAAAGCCTCGTCGCTTTAATTTCCAAACTGTATTCGCAACTTTGCTTGACGCTGCTCTGTAGGAACGAGGGCTACTCGACTACTCCACTCGACACGGTGGAATTCATTTCGATAAACGGCAACTTGCGAGAATTATCGTGCGAGTACATCTACATTAGCGCGAAATAACAGTACTTGTAGTTCCTACGTGAAGCAGCGAGCGAGCCGACGGAGGAGGCTCGTATATCTGCCGAGGATTATATTAATCAGCTCGGCACGCGCGTTCACTCGCGGCCGAACTTGTCCCGCGATTTTCGTAATCGCCATCGAGGCTGGTCGATTTTGAAAGTCGACGACCAGGGCGCCGCGCTCGCGTACGGGACCGTAGCGAGTGTCTACTTAGTAGGCAGAAATAGGAGCCCGAAACGCCGCGCGGGGACGCCGTTGCGGCTGATCCTACGACGAGAAATAACGCCGGGGCCTCCGAGAGAAGCGCATTCCAAAAGGATGGGCGGCGGGAAAGGAGGGGCGGGACACAACGGGCTCGGGACAGGGAAAGGAGAGAATTTTATCGCGGCGACGCGAGTCCCTTAACGCGAGCCGGTCATCAGCCACGCATTGGCGCCGCGCATGCGGCGCCATAATAACACGACTATCGTCGCAATAATCACGATAATTGGGAAGAGGTGTGAAGCGTAAAGCGAGACACGACGGCGACGACGCGGAACCGCGTCGGGTGTCCGCCGTGGAATTATCCGGGGAGCCATTTAGGCGTGACGATCGATAGGGAAATAGCCAAGACGATAATGACCGGAGTTGACGATTCTTCCAATCCTAGTGACAGAGAGAGAATGAGAGAGAGAGAGAGGGGGGGGGATTGAAAGAGAGGAAGAGAGCATGTTTCAAGGAATCACGCTCATCGGTGACTGACATGAGTCTCGAAAGGAACTAGCGTCGAGTCAGCTATCTGGCAGACCAAAAAGACAAAAATTCCGGAGAGCCATGGAGGAGAGTGACGGTGAGAGTAAAGTGGACAAGAAGACAAGAAAGACGAAGAAGGACTCGCGTGAACGGAAGAGAGGGGGGGGGAGAGAGAGAGAGAGAGAGAGGGAGAGAGGGAGAGAGAGAGAGAGAGAATCAAGAGATGCGTCGACACGCATCCGTTCAAAGGACCTTTCGGGGTTCTCTCGGCTGGAGCGGACCCGGATGCCCTTCGCTGGGCCGTATTGTCCCTGGCGAGCCACTCGCGGTATGCGGGGCGAAGGAGAGGGGGAGAGATCGGGAAGAGCGAGGAGGGAGAGGGGGGGTGCAGCAGAGGGACCCCAGCAGGGCACCCAACTTAACTGAGCGAACAAAACGGTCAAAACGCAACGAAACGGAGTCACTCACCTTGTCGCTCGTTCGTGCCGCTTCGCCGGAGTCTCCCTCGTCATTCACCGTCGCGACGGTCGCGTCCGTGGCTGCGCGCGAGCACCGCCGCCTCCTGCCACTGTGACGACAACAAGGCCGGTGAGTACTACGGCTACTACACGTCGCGCACGTCAAAATACTTGTGCCGTGTTGGCGCGCAGCATCGTCCTGCGCGCTTCGAAACGAACGCGCTCCTGGCGGAGGAGCGTGCCGGCACGGAGCACAGTAAAACACGCGCGGATCCTTCGGGGGATTCCTCGGCACGGGGTCCCCTCTATCCAGCCATCGCGTCGTCCTGCCTCTGTCTCTCTTCCCGGTGCTCCTGCGGGCCCGCCGGAGATCCACCGTCCTCCGTGTGCGTCGCGCTGCGCAGAGAGTCGCTCACGTGCGTGCCGATCGTCACGGATAAGACGCGAAAAATGCGAGACGCGGGCCGCGCGCACCGCAACACTCCGCACCGTACCGCGCCGCACCGCACCGCACCGCACCGCACCGCACCGCACTGAAGCGGCAGATAAGTGTGACAAACGCCGACCGATGTGTGTTGCCGTTTGACCTGCCTGCGAACTGACCAATCGCCGTGCAGGTGGCATCCCGCTGGTCCCCGTTGCTGCGGCAGCAGGAGGGGAGACACGCGGCCCGACCACCTGCCGCGCAACCTGCTGGGGCCTGCTGCAACATGCTCCCATGGATCGGGCCCTGGGCCCGACGACGACGGCCTGCCGACGTTGATCAGCCGTTGGTAACGTTGGTAGAATCTGCCTGGCGACAGACGGTTCACCGGTTGCCGCTGAACGTTCGCTCGCTGCGTTATCGTCGAATATCCGCAGGTTCGCGTCTTTGGGACTTTCCGTAAGCTTCGCTCTCGTAGGCTGTTTACCAGCTGCCGACATCTCATCGGACGGATCTTGTTTGTTGCGCTAATTGCACACCACGAGGCGATTTAATCTCGTCCGAGTGGGTCACGGGAAACGTGAACGGCACCTCCGCTAATCGGGAGTTACGGAAGCGACAATGGTCCGCGTGTGTGTTTATCCGCCAATCACGCATTGACCGATAAAGCGCGACTTTGATATGTCATCGATGTTAAGATGGAATGTGATCAATAAGGAAAAATCTCGATCGAATGATTTATCGTTGAACAAGTCCGTGATGTGCAAATTAATTAATGCCGGGAACGGCTCCGGGCGAGCGCGTCCGCCGCATAAGCCGCGAATGACGCTCGTGAATAATAATTTTGCAACAATCTCACACACAAGGAGATTTATTGCCGGATCACGCGTCGTCGCGATAAGTCGTCGGGACGCGCGCCAAAAAAAAAAACAGGTGCGTTTAGACGCTTATCGCGGTCGCAATGAGGCTTGATATCGCGTCGGCGACACCGACGACGTGGGGAAAATATTACGAGGCTGGCCTGTGCACGGTGCTTCAAGGCTGTGACCCGGCGTAGGTACTTATTGTATCAAGTCTCGTTAACGGAGATGTTCATTCACTCGCACCGCCAGATGACCAGTATGGCTCGCGCAACTCGTTGCCGCCGCGTCTCGCACGTATCGCGGCGATACGATAGTGGCCGGAAACGCGAAGAACGAGAGAGAGACGGACATTTTCCGATGAGGTGTGCTTGACCTATCGCTACCGCATCATGGAAACGCAATCCAAGTGCCAGCACGTTTGACGACGATGGCGGCGCTGGTACGTCTTAAGCGCGGTAGCGTCCAACTGAGACACGCGGCGCTCGAGGTCAAAGGTACGTGTGCCCAGGACGCGTCCTCCAGGACGCGTTGCCGCTGAAACTCGGCTTTGAAGAGACCGCTGAGCTATATATAGCAAACTGAAACGAATGGCACCTTGTTGGCCGATAGATGAACTCAAACAGGCCTGTGAGACAAGAACTGCTTCTAGGCAGAGTCGCTTTTTTCGCCTCATCAACATGTTGCAGTCCTTTAAATAGGACTGTAACGTGTTGGTGAGAGGCAGAGAGAGAGGGAGAGAGAGAGAGAGAGAGGGAGCGCTTCTATTTCGAAACAGTCTTTGTCTTACAGGCTTGTTTGATTTCCACCAGGCTGGTTCTCATTCCAGTTTGCCATATAATTCAATGGGGGAAACCGACAGACGATTCCGCGACGCTTCGCACTCTTTTAGTCCAAGGGAACGGGTAGCTTGTCGATTATTCGTTCCGTGTCACTGTGTGCCACACTTTTGTGTACACGGGTTCGTTCGTTTCTGCGAAATCAATCTGCACGTGGCTACTCTCGCTTGGGAGTCGCGAGTTGGACGCGAAAATTAGCATACTGCCGAGTTAACTTGCCGTCCGGTGCGTGTTTTGACGCATGTGCGCTCGTAATCAGCGTGGAGGAAATTAGTGTTGATGCTGGTGTCGAGATCACTAATCTTTCCGGCTCGCGTTGCTCGGCGACGCGCGCGCAAGTGGGTCGTAAAAATGCGCAAAGTGACGTACGTTCATTGTCTTTTCGAAAAGCCGGTTGTTTACGTTACATCATTGCCGAGCCAAAGTCGAGGCCACCCGCAGTATCATAGTGCTGTAGAGATAGTGCGCGGGGAATCAAACACCGGGAGCGATAAGAGCGAGATGTCGCAGTCTGTCTCGTTATTCTTGTCTTCTGTGAGATGGCAGACTTCGTCAAGAGAGGTAGTGTGCAGTTCGTCAAACGTGGCAGTTGTCAATTAAAGCTCGCTGCGCAAGAGGTTCGAGGTTCGTCGATCTTGATTATTATTATTATCGTCGATCTTGTTATCGTTCATTTGATTTGCCCTCCTCGCATTTCGCGCTTGCCGTAAGCACGGTCGAGTTTTTCACCTGACGTTCCGTTTGTGCTATCGATCAGCGACATCGATATTTGCAACATTCGCTTGATACAAACATTACCGCCCGGGCATTCGAATAAATTTACAAGAAGGGATTATTTTGTCGATGCCCATTCATGTCGTGATCGAATATTGTGTTTGGATACGCAACTAAACACGCATTGTAATTGTCACGCAACTAATGCTGCAGCGAGCAATTTGACATCGATCGTTCCCTTGCATCTCACGTAGGGAAAAAAGGCACTTGCCGAAATAAGTAAGTCTCTTCAAGTTTAGAATCGATATTACTGCAGGCGCGAACACCACCATCGTGCCAACAGTTTGAGCAAGTTATCAAACTCAAACACCGCCGTGCTCCGATGTTTGACGACCACGATAATGAGTGTATGCACAAAAGTTTCACCTGCCGCTGCAGCGCGTTCATTGTGTCGGGTGGAACGATTCCGTGAGAGAACTACAGACTCCGCGACCTAATTATCGCGAGACAATTGCGCAAAATTACTCGAGCTCTTCCGAGTGTCTCGCTAAAGATTCGACGACGATAAAAATGTTCAAATCGAACTCTTTCTCGCAAGTTTCATCGGAAACGCTGCTGTGCTCGGATAATCCTCCGCCTTTTTTTTCACGATTTTTACCAACGCGGCTCGACGCGAAGCAAAATTAGCGTTTCCAAAGTCCGTGGTAGCGCTCTCTTCTACCAGCGATGGGATTAGTCACCGTGTGATCACCACGACGTATATATCCTCGTAATTCTGTTATTATTCGTTAGCGACAGTTCGAGCGCGACACATCGTCGCCGCGCTGGTCGCAGTTGGATTTGCGCTCTGCGGCGCGGTCGAAGTCAGCTCCTCCGTCGCACTGCTGGCAAATCAGGAAGACAATCATGCCATCATCGACACGTCTTGGCACTGCGACATGCTGGTCAATATCACCAGCCGCAATCGCACCGAGGACTTCGAGGTTATACTCTTGGAGGTACACAAACGATTCGACTCATATTCGTAATCCGTGGCGCTAAATGTACTTCTCGCTAATCTTGGGATTTTAATCATTTAGAGCACGTAAATATGATGACGCGTAGATGCAATTGACAGCGTCGCGCTTACGATTTTATTCACCGATTAAATTTTCCCGGCAAGAAGATCTGTTAAATTCGCCTCGCAGATCCATTCTCCTTCCACCTTACCGAGAAAGGAGACGATACTTTCGAGATCGAGCAAGATGATGGAAGAAAAACGCTAATTCTCATCCATATCATTATTATAATATAATTATGTATAATAATAACAACTATAATTGTATTTATTGACATGACAGTGTATATAATACAGTCATGTAGTACGAATTATACGACGATTATACATTAGGATTGATGTGCAACATAATCCGTATTGTGCCGAACGATAGTTGCCGCAGGAGGAGCGAGCGGAGTCGATTATGCGCGAGGCTTTCTTATGGGGACAGGTGGCCGGGCCTATCTTGGGAGGTTGCCTGGTGTGGGGTCGATCCGGGCCCTCCATGGTGTTCTCACGAGCGGTTCTTAGCGCCTGTTTAGCGTCTCTATTAGTACCCGCCGCCTGGCGCGGACCATCGCACGTTGCGCTGCGCTTGTTCCAAGGATTATGCACCGTAAGTCGGCAGGCTTTCTTATCGCGCCATCGTCCGTGGATTCGCGACGAGGGCTCGCACGTCTCGCACGGTATCGTAAAACACGGCGAGCTACGTGAACCGCGCTGAATTATTGCGACATCTTCTTTTGTAGGGCGCGACCATGCCCGCTGCTCACATGTTCGCTATGACCTGGTTTAAGAGCAACCACAGGAGCTGGTACTTCAGCTGTTACGCAGGTAGACGGCGACGGTGTCGCAAACGCGCTCGTTTCACCAAGGAACGACGAACGAAAAGAGCGGACGACGCGGGTAACGCGCCGCCGCTCGCGATCTATCGCGCGTTAGCATGTTTTTGTTGGAAAAACAGCCGTAGAGACACACTTAGACGCCGGGAGTAGTTTTTTCTCTCTTTTTTTTTTTTTTTCTTTCTTTGTTTTGAGGAATTTCATTGAGTGCTCTCTCTCGACGGTGCAGGTCGCGTGGCGGCTCGAGTTAAGTGGACTAATCCTAATTCTCATGCTTCAAGCCGTCAGCGTGGGTTATTGCCTCACCGGATGGCTGGGCACCGCGGTGGTGCGAACGTTCGGCCGTGATTCTCTGTGTTACGGTCTGGTTCTCTTGGCTCTGTGCTGGTACTTCGCCTTCGGCCGATTCGTCAAGGACACGCCCAAGTCCTATCAACACGACACAAACGTAAGCGACGTTTTCGGCTGGTCCAACGCGTCGCGCATGTCTTTGTGCTCTGGACAGTCTAATTAAGCTTGTCGGGTGGGTGGGCCCCATCAGATGACAGCTTCTTGCGTGAGCGAGCAAGAATTTGCTGGGACTCTGGGGAATGTTCCGTCGTGCCGCGCGATACGTTAATTAGCGTCTGCGTATGCGGCAAATTCGTTTCACTGATAACTGCAAAATCACGTTGATACTTGATCGGCGATACGTGTAACCAGTCCATGCGACAGTTTTCGACACGATGATCGAGGCTAGCGATGTGATCGCAGGCGGCTGTGATACCATGGGGGAAACTCTTGAGATCCGTACCAGTGTGGGCGTCCGCGGTGGCGACCATGGGAAACCAATGGGGCGACGCGACGCTCGCTCTTGGCATGACAAAGTACCTGAAACTCATCTACGGCTTCTCCACAGCTAACGTAAGTCGAGGACAGAATTTCACCTCGCGGGGCCTACCTTCGTTAAAGATGCCGCGCGAGAAAAGGCGCAAGAGACTGGCCGCGTAGATTCTGCGTGTAACACGCGATATAGTATATTACGTAACGACACGCGAAAGGGCTCAGTCCTTGCCGCCCGATCGATATTACAAAAAGGACAGCTGCCAGCGTGACAAGTCTCGTCCTGTTACTAAGTCGCCGCTCAATTCAGGATTCGGTGCTAACCACCTTACCTCACATCGGTCACTTCATGGCTGCGCTGACCTGCGGTCTCCTGGTCGACCACGTCCGCGAGTCTGGTATAGTTTCCACGACCACCGCGAGAAAGTTGGTCGTCTACACAGGTACGTTATGACTATCTCTATAAACGGCAATGCGTCTGCAACATTGCGAAAACGCGCGTGAGAGTTCTGGTCTCCGATGCGCGCGCGCGCGCGCGGGTCGATTAAATTATATAAGACATTATTATTGCCGTTTATATTTTACTATTATCATTATCATCCGAGACGTTGTCAGGAGAGACGTCGGAAATTTCAAAGAAATACTTAATATTAAATTAGCGCCGCCGCGTTTTTTTGCGAAGGGAGCAAAGAGGAACGCCAAACGCCCCGACACCGGTTCTTTTTGTATTCCCGTTGTAAGTGGCCCGATCAGAGGCGCGGATTTTTACATCGCACATTTTTACATCGACAAAAGTCCACGGGCGCTGTCGTGCTCGGAGAGCGACGGATCAAGTCCCCGACGTGTCTAACGACGCAAACTAAGATCTTCCTTACCCGCCATAATAATACCGAACGAATACCGCCATACAAGCCACTGAGCGAAGCAAATTAATTAATGTGAAATCAGCGCACTTCATCCCCGCGGCCTTGCTGTTCGTCGCCGGTTACGCCGGCTGTCAAGCTCTGGGTGCCGCTTGGCTGGGGATCGCAGCCCTCCTCGTATCCGGCACCGCACCGGCCGGTGCGCTCGCCGCCATCGCCGACCTCGCACCTGCGGAATCGCCGGCGTGCGCCGCGGCGGCGTGCGCTCTGTGCTCCACATTGGGAGCCGCGGGACTGCTGGCCGCCAATTACTTCGTCACTCAGGCTCTTCATGGCTCCGTAAGTCCCGAATTACGGCACGCGCGCCGCCCGCGCAAGCGTAACCGACTCGTCCGCTAGCGCTCTGGACACGCGCGCCCGGGAGGGTTGCGTAAGAGTAATTCCGCTCTCGAAGAGTTACCGGGCTCTTCACGCCCCACATGACTCGCGTTTTTATCGGCCTCCGGCTCAGTCATCATATTCGATGCGGTTTTGAGAGCGTTACTTTGGGATCTGGAAGCTTTCGAAATTGCCGTGCTCTTCCTTGCTATCCTGCGGACTTTCCGGTCGCGACGTCTTTGTTCTACGTTCCTCGTTACCGAGGTAGCAGAAGCTTGAATCGGTCGGAGGTAGCGCGAGACGTGTAAGCGTGAAATTAATATTGTTCGAGTTTCTCCGATATGTCAGAAGTGTAGTCTCGCTCATTGTCCAATTTCCGCGTGTGCAATTTGACTCGGGCCCCACGCAAGTGATCGTAATCGCCGGAGAAACATGCCTATCGCTTTCAGATCGCTGGCTCTTGGCGACTGGTGTTCGGTGTCGCGTCCGTCGTCCTGCTGACGACCGCTGCGGTCTTCCTGGCTCTCGGCAAAGGCGTCCCGCAGCCGTGGATCCCGTCCGTGCCGAGACCGCGGAGTCACGACGTCATCTACGAGCAGGACACGCTGGAGCTCGACTACGAGGACGTGGGCGTGCAGACCGAGCCCTTTGGGCCGTACGCGTTGGAGGACGACGTTGAGAGCCTGAAGAACGTGCCCCGCTCCGCGTCGATTCACTCCAAGGTCTCGATGACCTCCGATTAAATCGCGCCTCGACGTGTCACTCTCAGAGCTCGTTCTGCAACAAGGATCGCTATCCTTCCGCGATAGAGCATAGTCTACGGAGGACGTGTGTGCTGCGCTCGCCGAGAGCAGGCGCGTCATTAACAATGTGTATATAAAGTTTCAAGAAGCAAGTATTGCGCGCACACGAGAACACGTTTTTATACGATTAACGCAGATTGTTCTCATCGATACACCGTGATGATCGAAAGGATTAAACACGGGATGTATAACAGTATTCAGATTGCAGCAACGCATTTCTCCGTGATTCACCATTCTCCACGCGTAGGGAGCCTTTCCGTCGCGGGGAGAATATTTGACGGTAAAACTTACCGAACACTGAATCCTTCATCCTCGAGGAACAGGTTGAGGACATAGGAATTTATTATTATTCCGTTTCACACGTGCTATTTACGCTTCAGTAACTGCAATCCGCACGATTAAAAGAATTTGCCGTGTTCTTCAGCGAGATAAATTCCATTGATCGCCTATTCTCCGCGCAGTTAGAAGAGAGAGAGAGAGAGAGAGAGAGAGAGAGAGAGAGAGAGAGAGAGAGAGAGAGAAAGAGAGAGCTGAAAGGAGAGAGAATTGTAAGAACGAAAATTATAATATTTTCTTCGTGTGTACGAATCGACCAGAGCGCACTTACACACCCCAAGTTTCGCGGAAGAAGACAGTCCGAGAGTCGCCACTCGCCAGAGAGAATCGTTACGAAACGATGCCGTGAATAATAACAGGAGGACGCGCTTTGACTGATAATATCGCGCGTGGAAAGTCGCCGGCTGATAAATATATCGCGACGTGCGTTCAGAAAAAGAAAGAAAATATCAGCGGACGTGAAAAGGGAAAGAAGCACGTAACGGATGAGCGGAGTCGCTTCTGCCACCAGCCATTCGCTCTCGACTATTGTTGGAGACTTGAAGCGGCTTCGCCTTGTCAGGACGCGTCGTGCATCGAGAGGGAGAGAGAGAGAGAGAGAGAGAGAGAGAGAGAGAGAGAGAGAGAGAGAGAGAGAGAGGCAGGGAGAGAGAGAGAGAGACTTCACCGATTTTCTCCGCGTTCGTCATTTCCTAACTCGTTAGCCGTTGCAGTGTGTCTGTGCGTGCATTACGCGCGTTCTCTGAGACAATAATGTGTGTCGGCTTTCCATCCCGTTCCCGAGAAAGAGAAAGAGAGAGAGAGAGAGAGAGAGAGAGAGAGAGAGAGAGAGAGAGAGAGAGAGAATGAGAGAGAGAGAGAGAGAAGGAAAGAAAGAGAAGCCGCGGCGGATGCGACGGGCGCTCTAATTACGCGGCTTAGCGGAGAAATGTCCCTATTGGCGCCGATACCATCGCGAAAATGCGGCCTTTGACAGCCGCGGCGCGTTCACGGAATACCGGAAGACGCGATTCAGACGCTGCGTAAGATCGGTATCCGCTTATTAATGTCCCGACGACGGCCTTTCACGCGCGTGATACGTATCCGGCGTGCGTGGAAAAAGCAGGACACCATTGAGGTGTCTGCGGAAAAGCGGCTGCCATTCGCCGCGAATTCAGATACTTCGCACGGCATTTTTCCGCACGTCGGCACTCGCTCGGTCGACATTCTCGCGCCGGGCGATCGAACTCGAGAGACCGAGAGTTGCGGTTATTCACGGCTGGACAATAGTCTATTATTACCGGTCGATTATTCCTCTCAATCGGCAGATTTTTCGATAACGAGAATTTTAGCGCGCGAATAAATTCCTTCGCGTATCTCGAGGTCGAGATAAACTTTCGCCAAGCGTTTGCAGCAACGCAACCGTGTTTTCCGGCGAAGCCGACGATATCGATGAGCCGATTCGCACGGTAGTATCTTTCGAGTTATCGGCGGCATTCGTCTCTTATTGACGAAGTTTGTTCCCATTGGCGGGCCAGCTCGCGTTTCGACACTGCGCGTCGCGGTGGGGCAACGCATTTTCCGACCGAGAGTTTGCCAAGAGACCAGCAAGCGGGCTCTGCGAATGCGTGGAAACCGCGTCGTGCGAGATCTCAAGATCTCCGCCCTCGGCGGCCGCATACTGCCGCGCGCGACTGTGCAAGTTTGTGTAGATCCGACCAGGCCAGTGTCGCAACCGGCGACGCTAATTACCGGCGGTAGACGCGTTACTATTCTTTCCCGGTAACGCCGACTCTCAGGGACTTATGAAATGAATTCTCACACTACGCCCTGTCTACCGTCCGACTCTTTCTTTATTTCGATGTGTATATATCACACTAGTCGTTTACGTAACATAGCGTATTTACAGTCGCAAGTGTGGAGTACGCTAGCGGTGCCTTCGAGGCTAATAGAGAGCTTCCGCTCGCAGGCGCGATCTTCTGCGATTCGGAGCGGAGAGCGAGCGACCGCTGTCCGCCGCGGGATCTCCTCCCGGGTAGTCTCGGCGAGGAGATAGATGCACCAGTGACGAGAAATGTCTCTCTTTTTCTTTCGCTCTCTTGTTCGGCAGGAGTAAACGCGTTTCTCCGAAATTGCAGGAGTACAGCGTTGTTATATAATTATCGTAACGTAATTGTACTACAGTTTAAGCTGTTTCGTCGGAACGAATTACGGACGACTTCGTCGTAATTCCTCTGTCTTTCGTTCTATCATCGTCAATTTTGTGAACAATGTAACTTGAGCGCCGGGGAAATTAACGGCTCGGCAGAAATTGACAATGTCGAGCGACAACCAGGAGGCAACATTTATATACGCGAGGAGGCAATGTTACTTTTCTTCTACTTCTTTGAGACGAAAGGCATATTCCCGTATTTGTCCAATGATTTTTCTCGGTCACGCGCGGTCACGCACTGATGCGTCCACTTTGGTAGAATATAAATAACGCGACGAGACGAATGATAAATGTGCGCGCGTCGGCGCGGCGCTGGAAAGCTGTCGTGCAGAAAATCGGCCGGGCTGCGCGCAGCGACGATTTCCCTTTCGCGAAACCGATTCGATCCATTAACGACACGAATGCGTCCGTTGCGTGCGCGAGCGCGACGTGCGTCGGTCGTCGCGGACGGACGGACGGACGGACGGACGTACGTACGTCCGTTCGTTGTCCGCAAGACAAAAAGTCGCTATCGTTGACGTAAGCCGCTTCGTCACGTCACAGGTGTATTGCCACAAGGGCTCGCGACGGCGCGCGTTCCGGTATACTTAGCGCTAATAAATCATGGAACACACACGTATATTTAAGTGTGAGGTCATCTCCCACCTTCCAAGCTTTGGAATCGGCTCCTTCCCAACGAGACTCGGTACGTCGGCTTTGATGACAATATACGGTCGTCCAATTTCTAAGAGATACAAAGAGGAAAAAAGAAAACGTACATGCGAATACATGCGCGAGATGCAACTCTGCGGCTCTCGTCGCACTCGTCGACTCTCGTCGTACACGGTAGCGCGGTAAACCGGGACGAGAAACGAGAACTCTACAATAATTTTTTAACCCGCGATTTACTCGCGGCGAGCGAAACACTCGCCGCGCCGCGCCGGCCGGGAATCCCTAACTACTCGTAGCCGCCGCAGCCGTCGTTACATCTTCTTCCTCATCATGTCCTTCTCCTCCTCGGCGTCGTCCGTCGTTATGATCTGCACGCTCCTCACCGGGCCGGTCTTCCTGTAACTCGACGGCGGCGTCGTGGTGCTGGTTACCAAAGCGGTCGGTATTATCGCGGCTCGTTCGGCGTTGATCGCTAGGTTCACCATTCTCAGCAGCAAGGCCTCCCTGATCGGCGCCGGCAGGACCTCGTCGCCGTCGTCGCTCACGTCCTGCGTGTAGAACTTCTGCCTGTAGACTCTCTTGGAGTACCTGCCGTCGTGGTAGTCGTCGTACTGCTGATACAGCGGGTTCAGAGCTCTGGGATACAACGGTCGCCTCAGGGGCACTCGTTCGCCATACTGCACCTGCTGATCGTACAGCTCGGGCCTGGTTAATGGCGTCTGGTAGCTTGCCGGGTACGAAGAGTACGGTTGCTGATCGTACAGGGCGTCCTCGAGGTAGCTCTTCGGGTAGGACAAGGCCTGCACTCCGTATTGGCTGACCAGCAGCCTTCTCAGCAGGATTTGGAAGTCCCGTCGGCTCAGAGGCGGCGCGATCGGGTTCGGCGGCTCGGGTGGTAACGCGAGGCCGGCGTTGGGGCGGTAAGGGTACTCGGGGGTGGTCGGCTGGTACTCCCTGTCGTCGGACTGAGTTACCGGATTCGGTACCGGCCGCAGGAGCGGCCGCCTCTGCTCGGGCTCCGGGTAGAGCAACGGCCGCATCACAGGCCGCGGCCGCACGTAGTTGGCGTTCATCGCGATCCGCGCCTCGTCCTCATGGTCGGGCACGGCGGGATTCTCCGTCAGGTAGTGGATGTTGGCATCGGTCGTGGTCGAATAGACGGCACCCGGCTGCTGATTCGCGGCCGGTCGGAAGAGGATTCTGCCGATCGGTATCGCTCTGTAGACGCCTGCGTCCTCGTCGATGCTGCTCTGCTGGGACGGCACGAGTATCCTGGGCGGCAGTTCTCGCAGGTACTGCTCGGCTTGCTGCCTCACGTAGACGGGCTCGGTGCTTTGCCTCACGTAGTCCCGGTTCTCGACCGGCAGTCTAGGGGCGCTGCGAAGCAGCACCTGCTGAGCTGACGACGCGCGCTCCTCCTGACTGGGCTTCGTCTCCGTCTCGAAGACCCGAGGCTCCTCGTACTTGGAGTTGTCGAATCGAGTCGGGCTTAGGTTATCGCGGTTCACGTAAATCTTTGGCCGCGAAGTCACGGGGATTCTTTGGAGGACCCTGTTTGGGGAGGACGTGGTGAACAAAGGGCGCGTCGTGGACAAGGAGCCGCCGTAAACGTCCGAGTGGTCGTCGTTGTTGTCCGCCGCGGAGTTGGCCTTGGTGGTCTCGTCGTGTAGCTGCCTTCTCAGAGTGTTTCCCGTCGTGATCTTGGCCTCGTCCTCTTTGTCCACAAAGTCCTCGGAGATTGGGGGGAGGCTGTGTTCGATCGGTCGCTTGGCGAAGACGATCCTCCGGTAGACGCCGCTCTTGTCGTCCGTGCTGGGTCGGTTGATCTGAGAATCCTCGTCTTCGACGTCCTCCGCGATGATCGGCCTCTGCTGGCCGTTGATGATGAAACGCGGCCTGCTCTTCGGCGTGCCCTTCAGGTAATGCCCGAATATCGTCTTCGGGGCCTCGGTGGTGGTGGTGGTGGTGCTTGTGGTCGTCGTAGTGGCGGTGCTGGTCGTTTTTCTCGTACGTGGAATCGACTGCACGACCGACGACTTGGTCGGCGCCTCCGACGTCGTCGTCGCGGCGTACACGATGCTCGGCTTCTTTGTGGTCGCCGTGGTGCGGTTGACGCGCGGTATACTCTGTACGACCGACACGTGTTCCTGCAACGGTGACACGGTGGTCGCTTTAAAGCCCGTCCCGTTCGACGAGGAGTACGAGACCCTCTTTATCTCGCCGTCGGCGTCCACGAAGCCGAACGTGCCCTTAATGTTGCCCAGAACATCGCGACTCTCAACCTGATGAAGCAAGAGTCTCGCGTTTAATTCTCAGCGCGGGATCGTCGCGAGTGGTTCATAGTAGGATGAGATAATTATGCAGACATTTGGAAGAAAATTCCTTCTAACGTATTCTTATTCCGAGAGAAAATTTCATTGAGTTAGTTTTCACCTCCTCATTGTCGCAGATGCCGCAGAGCGCGATTAAAAAGACACGCGAATGATGAATCTTGACGGTCTTTAACGATCATTTATTTTTGTCGAGATATTTTTTCTCACGTTATTCGACGACATCAAGCGATGCTGTGAATTTGAGAACTATGAGGACGAGTTATAAAAAGTGTTGCGCAAGAAAATTTGCATGTAAATCCACGATCTCACTCTCTCTCTCTCTCACTCTCTCTCTCTCTCTCTCTCCTTCTCGTGGGAGGCAATTAGATTCCTGCGTGATTACTCGAGTGGGTATTGACATTGATATGACATTAACATTGTCGTTAACACCGCTCGCGCGCTGCGCAGCCAAGCTGTTGCGATTGTAATCAGTATGGAAAAAAGTCGATTGAGATAATTAGTATGCGATACTGTGGGAAACGCAGGAGCGCGCGCGCGCGCGCGCGCGCGCATGCGATGCGATTTATAGTTCTCAAGGAAAAAAGCCGACAGAGGTGCGGTCGATGCTACGCTGCTTACGTGTAATCACCTTGAATGATCCGTCACCGGCCTCGTAGCCGTACGTGTAAGAACCGTCTTCGTTCACCTTTCTGATCTGTTTCAAGATCGCCACTTGATGATCGCGATGCGTTTCCGATGTTTGCTGGTCCGTGACGTTCGTGCAGCCGGCAGTCACCAGACAGAAGAATGCCATCAGCCATGGCGTCATCTTAAAAGCAAAAGGTGATTTTTCTCTCTGAGGAAAACTCGCAGTAACGACGCAGCGCGGCGGCTAAGTCTCACGGCTTATCGCGAGTACTACGAGAAAGCAGCGTTCGAAATGAGAAACGGAAAGAAGAAAGAAATAAAGAAGATAGGAAAGAGTAAGATCGCGCACGAAGCGTCGAGCGGGCAAATTCGTAAGCGGCGAACTCGATTACTCGCTCCGACGACTACGCTACTTTGCATTCATCCCACAGATCCCACAGATCCCGAAACGTTTACGCGAAGGAAGACGCCTCCTCCAGCACGCGCATAACATCCACATAGCGAAGTCCACACAACGTGATCACTTGGCGACGTGTTCCGCGTTTTCCGCGCGCTATCCGCGTCAGGATAAATCCTGCGGGGGAATGCTGCCCGAAGGCTGAGAGAGGAACGTCACGTCGTGCGAGCGATGATGCGCTCGCCGCCGATGCGCGCACTTTCCCACGAAACCACCAAACCGTCGACCTCTCGACGTCGAAAAATCGCCGCAACATTCGCAGGTCGCTGCGTCAGAGCACTGTGTTTATGGATTGATAGCCGCTGAAATCGATCTCGCTCTCTCGCGCACAGCTCGCGCACCACGAACGCGTTCGCACCACTCGCGCTCGTTCTCGGCGTAGACGCGCGCTCGCGCGCGCGCGGAGGCGAATATACCTTGTTGGGACTGGAAACCATGTTACCGCGGATGCGGTGAATGTTCTTAATACCGCGTGGGGTGTCGAGTGCCGTTATATATAGGGTGACACAATAGGCATCTACCGCGCCCCTTCCACGACGCGCCGCGTCGCGCCGCCACGTTCAACCTTGATGACCCCTAAACGTTCATTAAGGCGTTGGGATATACCAAATGACAGCGCTCTCTCTCTCTCTCTCTCTCTCTCTCTCTTCTCTTTCTTGTAGACGGGACTGCGCAAAGAGGAGAAGAGAAGAACCGCGCAAAACTGCAAGGCAACTCAAACTGCAACACTCTTCTTCTTCTTCTTCTTCTTCTGGCGAGAGGAAGGAACGCGCGACAATGAGCGGCAGCGCGCAGTGCGCGCTGCCGTGTTTGCTCATCTCGATTACAGCGTTGCCTCGTCAGCGAGATTGCCCAAGACGGGATTACTTTAATGAGTGGTAGAGGCGCGAAAAGAGGCGCGAACGTGCCGTGCGGATGATCGACCGGCGCGCGCGCGCGCGCGCGGACGATGGGGAAGCGGCGATTCTAATGAAGGAGGAAAGGCTTTCCTCCTTCATTAGAGGAATTGGCCTTTTAAGTTTTATATTTCGCGCGGGTTTCACGCCGTTTTAATTACTTTAACGTACTCCCCTTTCTCCCATTAACGTACACGCGAGTCGTCGGCAGTTATACATAAACCTGACATAAACCGACGGTCTCGCGAGGTAAGTGCGCGCTAAGTGATTTGCACGCTTTTCTTTCTCCTTTCTTCCTTCCTTCCTCTCGTGCTTTTTTTTTCTTTTTTCTTTTTTTTTTTTTTTTTTTTGACGCGCCAGAGAAACTGCCGGAAACCTGAAAATTCGCACGACTCGTAACGGGGGAGCCCCGAAGAAAGTGCACCGACAGCGACGACGACGACGGGGAGACGACGAAAAGGAGCGGATGTGCAAGGGGACGCGGCGGGGTGTCCCCGACGGAATGGGACACACGGAGAAGTTTGGCCCCGCGGGGACAGGTGAAAGCCACGTGAGAGTTAACGGCCGGGCGAGAACAGTAGTAGACTGTAAAATCTGTAACAATAGTTCCCATAGTGTGCAACACCGGTGTATTGTGGTGGTATTCGCGCTCCACTCTAGGCACTCCCACAGGACAATTATTACATCATGCAATTTCCTCCGCGTTTCGTATTCACTTTTTTGATGCCACCTTGATACGCCTCGCGTTCGCGGACGTATCGGCTGTCTATCTCGCCTCGCGTCGCACGTTTCCTCCGCGCCGAGGATTGTTGTTTCTTTTCGGGGCTCGCGCTCGCGCTCGCGCAAAGCGAGCTCGCGTTGGCACGCCGAAATGATCAAATGTGCAGGATATCCGGGAAAAGTGCACGGGGATGTATCGAGTGACGCGCGTGCACTTTCTCCCGGTCATTATAATTCCCCGATGAACACGGAGTCGATCTCGAGTCTGAGGCTCCTCTTGGAGGTAGATTGGTCATCGGCGAAATCACCTCGTTGTCCGCAGTAATCTCCTGCCGATTGGAAGCCGTCGATTGCTGTTGACTCGGTTGAGCTCAGCCGCGAGTTATACCGGCAGTCTAGTTGGGGAATTTGTTGGAAATTGGACGAAAAATGAGATCTCGTTATCCGTTTACGCTATTGAGGCTTAATTCACCAAAACCCCGCGACTTTCGACCGTTGTGTAACCGTAATTAGGCCCCTCCCGTGAAATTTCCTCCGAGGGGCTCACTGTCGACTCCTAATATGTAGCTCCTGCTAACTCCTAATGCGTCGGATACTACTTAACGCGCGCCTCTATTTCCGCTCGATTCCAGCTCGCGATTCTCGCCGATGCGCTCGGAAAATCGAGTGTCATTTTCTAACGTCTAACACCAAAGCGTGCGGCGTGGAAGATGGAGAATTAACGCGATTCGCATTTTTGGTGATACGTAAGGAGCGCGGGGGGGGGGGGGGTAATTGCAACGCAGCGCCACACACGTCGCGCGTTACCTCAGATGTACGTATTTCACACCGGCACACCTACTTCGTTACCCACGAGAGGTTCGACATTATGCCTCCAGGGAGCACGGCTATGCGTTCTCTTTTCGGTGTGTGACTAACAATGCCGAAAATCCGTCGGAACTGCGCCGTTGCTTATTACGGTAATGTGTTGTTTGGGCGCGCCGAAACGTGGAACTCCCGCGAGTGGAACTTGCGAAACGCGCTTTAATACGTAATCAAACCGAGTCCACCGAGCGGGCGCTCGCGGTCAGGACGCGTGTAATTTTACGAGACCGAATATATAATATTAGTTTCGTAGGAACTTTTTGATCGAAGGAGACTGGGAGTTGCGAGTGACAGTCGCGGAAGATAAATCTGCTTCAGGTGTGGTTGAGTCTTTTCATCAGACACAAAAGCAGCCGCATGTCGCCGTGAGAGATTCTGCGATAATGGCTATTTACAGTATGAATTGCGTGCATGAAGAGATATTAACTTCTGAGTAAACGACCTTAATGTTCTGCTTTATCATGTATGCGGATCGAGTTTATTATTGCGCCTCGTTATTTCCATCGACTTGACGGGGTATAGACATCAAGTCATCGCAAAGTGCTTCCCGTCCTGGATACATATTTTATCATCCGTAATGAACTTGAGTTTTCCCGTGTATTGGTACGCTGACTCACTGATACCGTGACGTGCAACGCCTCGAGTATGCTGCCTTGTGTGCGGCATTGCATTCTGTGTTCAAGTGCATTAGGTGCGCTACGCACTAATCCGCAGAAACATTAAGGAGGAAAATTACACGTGGAAGGCCGCTTTCAAGGCTATTTTTACGAATTTTTCTAGAATAGAAACGGTAAGATCAATGGACTTGAAATTTTCACAGAACATTCATTAATGTTCAAAGTGTAAAATAAATTTTATCGAATCGCAAGAACTGATCCAACTTGTAACTATAGATAAAAATGCAGTTATCCGTTTGCGGGATCTATGTTTGCTGTCGACACGTAATTCCGGGCCTCTCGCTACTCTGAAACTAAAAAGTGAGAAAGATTTTTAAAATATACGATTGCCATTGTAGACAGTTTGAGAAAATGGTGTTTTCAGATAAACGTTTTTAAAGTTTTGTGTGTACTTTCCATATAGATAGTAACAAATTTATTTTATACTTTGAACGTTAATGAATACACTGTGAAAATTTCAAGTCCATTGATCCTCCCGTTTCTGTTAAAAAAATTTGTAAAGATATCTTTGAAAACGGTCCGCTCCGCATGTAATTTCCCCCTTAACTTGTCTCGCACAATTAATCACCGATATGTCGAATCGCAAGGTTAATTTCCACGAGGGGACAGCTTGAAGAAGGAGAGACCTGTGCAATCTCGTAAAACAAAATGGAATCTCACGCTAAAAGGTCCGGAAAGCACGCAAGAGACGCGCCGTAAATTTCAGAATTTTCCTTAGAAATTTCTCCTTGTCCAGAAAGAATTCGTCGTAAAAAGCGCGGAATACAATACCTGGGAAAATAGACAACATTTAATTACAAGATATCTTCACTAAATGTAAATTTTATTTATTATACGCCAGATAATGCGAGGTATCAAGTAACGCAATTACGACAGATTTCCCAGATATGAGTGATGTTATCGTTATCGCCGTCAAAAATCGCATATTGTTTGTCTCTCCGCGGACGCAACTACGAGGAACTGACTTCGCGTAACGCACATACAATGAAAACGGCGGGGCGACGCTCCATGAGGAAATTATTGCAATTAGATTACTTCAGAGGATTATGAGCTCGCAATTGTTATCTTTGTGTATCCACCGGGTCCTTCGTTCGAGTTAGCGCTCGCTAACTTCACGTCGGCCATGTAGCGCATCTAACTGCCATAAATGCCGTCGTTAAATCATGCCGATCTACGTATTCACCGATCTACGGTGAGAGTGGCAAAAACGGGGATTGGTCGTCATATCCTTTTGACATTTGCCGTGTAGGACGGAGGATGTTGCGCATAAACGCCGTACCGCGCTCTCTTCTTGCCACTCCGCGGCGGATCGAGCGGCGTTGACACTTCGCTAATGACGCCAGCGTGTATCTGTCCAGCTGTTCCAGACGATGGTTTCCGATGGTTGCTCATTTTTCTCAGTCGCGACGGGACGCAATTGACGCCTCGGCTCGCCACAGAAACGTCTCTTCGCCTCTAACAGAGGCGTGTAGATCGTTAAGAAGTGTCCCCAACTAGCACATTGACGCAAATAAACATTTTTACATTCGGCAGCTTTCCTTAAATTACCAGTTTTGTTCACGATCTCTCGTGTGCGGTGTGTGAAACGCCGTAATTATTGGATATCTCAAAGTACGCGATGCGTGCGATGTGCTGCAATTCGTTTGCCGCTGTGAGATTTTATTGCGGCACGGGGGATAACTTTTCGTTATCGCTAATTCATCGTTCGCTCAACGGCGAAGTAGCATTTTACGGTAATTACGTAGTTGCTTAGGTGATACTTAGGAATTCTCGCGAAACACTGGGATTGCGTAGGGATCGCGGAGATACGCGGTCGTTTGTTAAATACGATAGCAGCAATTGTCTCGCTCATCCTCTACCGGTAAAATGGAGAGCGCGTTTAGAAAGCAGCGGTGAAACTTTCGCTAACAACCTGCGGCTTGCGTTAGCCGCAAAACGATGAAACAAATCGTGACCTATGGTTTTACGGCTCGCCGAGATGAAGTTCAAGGTTGCGCGTTGAGCTATAAAAGATATTCCTGTCGTATCACACTGATCAAGAATAAGGATATACTTGTCCCTGTTTACCACACATGTTCGTACCGTATCGTACCGTAATCGTCACTCGTACGAATATCGCGGGTGATGCACTTTTGCTGACAAACTCACGCTGGCAAGCGCCGCAAAAAGGAGAAAAGAAGATTACGCTGCAATTTCGAGACGAATCTTCCGAAATGAATTTACAATTGTCCGAAAATCTTCCTCTCGCGTGGAGTGATTGTCATTTCGGTGAAAAATGGGTGAGAAATGGTACACGGAAAATAAAATGCTATTGTCATCAACAGCATCGGTGTAATTGTAATAAATCTTATTAATTTAAAAGCGATAATAATCAAATAAAATGTCATTCTCTTGTTTTGATAATCGATGCTTTTGAATCAACAGCACGATCATGTAGTTGGGACGTGTAATTGAATCAATGCATTTATCTTTTTTAATTCAATTAAATTTTATTTTTAGCGTACGAGTGAATCAAACTGGTTGGTCTCCCTCAAGCTAGTCAATTCGCTCGATCGATCGAACACCGCGCATTCACCGATTCTGAATTCACCCGTGCAATTATTTTCCCTTCCCGAAATGCATCATTCCGCGGCAGGAAGCACGGCCATCGCGAGGCAGGCGATAGAACTCGATACACCTCGTCGATATACAGTGTCGAGAATAAATCACCGATCCAATTTACCGTCGTGATTGTATCCACGCGCGCACGTTTCGGAAATTAGATAATATACTTGGAAATGGCCAGCCATAAACCGTCTGGCGTGGTTTGATTTAACACTTCGCTCTCGACCCTTTCATTTTCGAGATGACTTTCACCCGGTCGCTTACAATCTACTTTTACCGTAAAATCGAAACGTGCGCGCCGGATAATACGTATCCTTGTTTATTAAGGTATCGCTTTCGACGCGCGCGTTTATTGTATATTCAAATCGGCAGACGGAAAAATTCACGCGGGATTCATGATTAACGGCGTTACGAAAGACCCGCGTTCGGGGACCGTTCCATTGAAATCGACATTTCATTAAGATTACCTTTCAGGCGAAACCGGCATCTCGCACGGTCATTATATGATTTCGCATATCGAAGTTGATTGGATACGCAAGGTGACCGGACGGAATAAGATGCAACCCAATCTGCATGAGATTTATCTAACCTTTTCAGCAACGGTTCTTCTCTCTCAAGCGGCCGATGCACAAAGGGACGCGTTAAATGAAAGACGCAAGACGCGATAGGAGCGTTCCCGCGGCGCGACTTGCGAAATTGCGCTGAAAAGTTGCATTTTTGCAAACCGCCGTCCAAAACATGAACCCTCGGACGTGCCTGCGGGACGTTGGCGCGCGCGTTGCGGAACAATGCGTTGTGTGTGTGATTCGCGAGCGGCGAGCGGTGAACGCGCCGATTGTTCAGCCGCGAACGTCCGTCCACGAGTTCATGTCGGCACGTGGTTCATAATCGGAGCGGAGAAACCGCCGCAGGTGGATAACACGTAGCGGTCGTGACGTAACGGCCGTTTGTACACGTCGTGCACGACGCCGCCTTTCCCACTTTTCTCATTTCTTCTTGCGGAAGCGGCTCGCGCGTGTTTAGCCGCGGCAAGCAGCGCGTCGTCGGGTGTCGGCTCGTTAATTTCGCCTCGTAAGAATCGCACGTAAAGTTTCGCGCGCGTCCGGCGATGCACGAGCGAGAGACCCGGAGGACAAATCGTGCGAACCAACATCCCGCTCGTTCCGGCGCAAACGACGAGTCTTATCGAACGAACGGGTGGGAGAGGAGGGGGGGAGAGGGGCGAGGGGGAGAAACTATAAAGCACGCAGTTGTTTGTATTTTATTTCATTAGACTGCTCGTCGTAAGATAGAGTTATACATGAGAATCCGTACTTATAAATCCTGCCGCCGCGTCCTGGCGAAGGAATATTTATGAACCGAGGACAATATAATTCATTCGCATGCTCGGTATTACATCGAAATAACGTAATTTAACGCCGAGAGACCGTACACACAGGCGTATCTTCGCTTTCATCGCGCGGAAAAGTCAAAAGCGGGATTACGTGAGCGCGAGATCCGTTACAACCGTTGGCTAATGAATTCTACGTTTATTATACACGCCTTTATCATCTCCTCCCGATTCGCGCGTTCGCGACGGGAGGATGGAATGAGATATCAATCGTTCGTCGCGGATGTATCCGTCGCGATTTCATCGAGTTATCCGGCGTATATCGAGGCGTCCGATACGCCTATTCTTCAATCTCCGTTCGTGCGAAACGAGCGAAAGCAAACGATTGGCTGGGAGATTGGGGGAAATGAAGTGACGGCGCAGAGCAGATTTTCGCAGTGATACTTTTCTTTCCATTACGTTTACAAATAATACAAAAAAAAAAAAAGAGAAAACAACTTTAACGCAAGACTCTCCCTCACGAAGATTTTTATGCGCATTTATTGTGCGTATATGTCGCTAAGTAGCCGCTATGCGTTAACGCTAACAAGGGTAGTATTTACAGTATGAGTAGACAACCGCCGCTTCGAGCCCGTCGTAACAACGACACGATCGCGACGAAGAGTCGCCACGGAATCGTCGATCGAGATGGAGAAACTGTCCAAGGCGCTACAGCCACTATGTTGCATTTTATGGATCGTAACGATGAGAGAGAGAGAGAGAGAGAGAGAGAGAGAGACAAAGTTACCAAAGGAGCCAAACAACTTGTGCTCTTGGGAAAGCAAACAAACGGACGGTTAAATCCTCGGATTGATTTTTCGGATTAATTTCGAAAGGCTTTCTTGTCGTCTGACCGCAAACTACGTGATCGCCGACAAAGTGGTCGCCTTCCGTTGCGCTTCCGTCGAAGAGAGATCGCACGAAAGATCCGCGGCTGAAACATGACAGACGTCAGACGTTTGGGCTATTTTTAGTAATTAACGATTATGACGTCGCGCTGGGAGCGATTTCATCGCCATACGGAGCACGCGCTGCCGTCTCTTGGCATCTGATATATATTTCCGCGAGCTCGAGTCGAGTCGCGAGGAGGAGGAGGAGGGGAGGGGAGGGGGGGGGGAGCGGAAGGGGGCATTAAACTCGAATCGATTCTCACACTTGTGACAGAGAATGCAAATAGAAAGTCCACGGCGGCTCAGGAGCGAATAGAATGTTGTCCCTACGGACCAGACCACGCCAATAAGAGCATATTGCGGTTTCCCCGACGGCCGGCTCGCGGTGAACTCTACCCGCGGCGCGCTTGCAAAATTCCGCGCGTTGCAAAAGGCCGAGCGCACTTCCTACCGACTGACGTGTCGGATATTAGAACTATTGCCGGGTTCGAGCGAGCGAGTCATGCGCATACATCCGCGACGCGAGACACGGAATCGCAATAATGCCGAAATCACAGAAGCTCGGAGAACGCCTGAGGAAAGCATCTAATCAGCTCGACGCGATTTAACGACTCGCGATGTGACCGAGTGAGATCAAGCCGGATTCGCGATTTCGAATATTGCGATCTTTAATTCGAAATACCGCGTGATCGTTTCGAAAAATGTACAGCAGGCTTGCGCGCTTCATCCGCGATGATTTTGCGACAAGTCGGCAAAGTCGGCGAGACTATCAAGTACGCGGAATCGGACGGAGGATTTCTTCTCCCGAATTCTCGCGTTCATCGGCTCGTGCGTGACACGTCCTCCGGCTCGAAGGCAGCTCGACGCAACGCGCGCGCGCGCGCAGATTTGATTCGACTAATTATCCGCGTAGCGTCTGATCGCGTTTCACTCGGCTTTCATGCGACTCGTCGATCCCACGTCGAATCGACGACGTTTTGTAACCGAGTCGCGCTCTCGAACGTGGCTTATTACGTGGCTCGACTCGGCAGGGTCGTGCGTGATAAAAGGTCCGCGGCTGTGTTCCGCTCGTGTCGCTGAATCTCCACGGGTACCTACGACAGCACGGCGTTAGGGACCCGCGCGAGGAATTGCCACGGTAATACATCGTACACGTGCGTGCGTGAGTATTGCGTCAGGTCGTTGGCTTTCACTCGTCGGTAACGTGCCTCATAAACGTACACGATACCGGGCTGAAAAGAAGTGCTCTCGGAATCCTGGCCTGAGAAACCTGGCAAGGATCGCGGCTCGCGGCGTGAACTCGACGCGCGGGCTCAATGCTGTCGCGCTGTTTTTCAAACTACTTCGATGAACGTTTCGCCCGCCGAAACATGGCCGGGCCGGGTCTAAAGCCGGGTCTTCCTCTGTAGGCCCGAAACCGAACGTACAACGAGAGATCGTCCACGGCAGCTGTGGGAAGCTCAGAAAAGAATAAGAAGAAGAAGAAAGAATGGTAAGGCGAAGGTGAAATTTTGCGTCACGTATCGCGTTATTTGTCACCGGCTCTCCGCGTCGCTCGCTGATCGCGTTCTCCGCCGGCCGTTCGCTTCGTCGTACGCGCGCGCACGGTTCCTCCTCTTTTCGATATCACACACACACACACACACACATACACACACACACACACACACGCGCGCGCGCGCGCGCGTCGGTCGCCTTAACCTTCGACACGAGCGGACGGTTCTCCGACTGCGCGTGCACGGCTAATATCATCGATTGCGCCTTGACCAAGACGAGCGGACGCGTTGAAGGGAAAAGCGAACGGGGTCGAATTGTCGGAAAGGCTGCTGGGAACAAGACAATTCGGTAGGTCCCTCTCTTCTGGAGAACGAAAGTTACGTGAAGCCGAGCCCGAATAGTTGCGATAAGAAAGATCGAAGTGTCTCTCTACGATCTCGACGTTAAGCTGAGAAAGCCGCAAGCAGCAGGGCCCTGTTGCGCGACACTTTTCACCGCAATCGCGCGTTCGCGCCTTTCTCGAGGAAGAATGCGCGAGGTTTATCGAATATGGCGGACATTCCACGTGCGCAGCAACGCGTGCACGTCGAAGCGGCCGTGCGCGGGCCGTTCACTCGGCGGCGGTAATGTACTTCGTATATATTATCCAAGCTTCAGCCTGCCATCGCACGCACGCGCGATACATGTGTATAGATGTTTATATATTATTATATATTTATACCTTTATACGCGCGCACACGTGCGCGCATAGGCACGTATCCTCGACACGTGCGCGCACGGGCCGTCGTGAGAGGATCCATCAGCGCGGGATCGGCCGCGCCGCGGCTCGGCTCGCGAGGCGCTCGGGACAAGTGCCGAGTGATAAATACCGAGGGGACGATTCGAGAGAGACCGGGAAGTGGTTTGAAGTCACCGCGACATTTTCAGGGAGCGTGTCAGTAATTGGCAGCGCCTCCCCGGAGAAACTGATCGATCTGACCTACTGAGAGGGACGTGCTGGTGGCGGCCGAGGGCTTCAACGACGAGACGTAATAGAACGCCTGGGGTTCCCTCTGTGACTCCAGCAGCTGGAGCCTGTGAGGCTGCTGCTGCTGCTGCTGCTGCTGCTGCTGCTGCTGCTGCTGCTGGCGGCGTTGCTGCTGCGCGTAGAGCTGCTGGGACTGCTGCAGTAGCTGCGCCTGCTGCTTCCTATAGAGCACCTCCTGCGGCTGGGCTACGGTGGGGGTGGGTGCCGACTGGGCCTGCTTGTACACCGGGGCCTGACGCTGCTGCTGGAGCTGCTGCAGCTGCTGCAGACCGAGTAGGGACTGGGGCTGGGCTACGAACGGTTGGAGTTTGTGACTGAGGCTGAAGTCACCCACGGTCTGGGGCAGAGTCTGATAAAGCTGGGTATTGTACTGACCGGTCGCGGGATCGTACACGAGCTCCGACTGGTAGATGGGGTCTGCGGCTGCGGCGGCGGCGGCGACGGACGTTTGACCGGTCAGCTTAACTCTCGAGGTTTGGGGCGAGGCTTGCGCCTGGGGCCTGGGGGCGACGGACACGCCGACAGTGTTCACGTAACGCTCGAGCTCGGCGGCGAAGTCGAGGTGGGGTGTGCTAGCGGCGGTCGTGGTGCGCAGCTGGGGAGACACCGTGGCCGCGTGGCGACTGGGGGTGTAGACAAGACCGGGGCGCTCGGTGCTACTAGGGGAGACGTACTGCGCCGCCACCTGGGCTACGTGGGGTCGCGGGGTTATCGCTACCGACTGGGGTCTTGGGTGCCGGGCCACCGGTCGACGTGTGGTCGTCTCGAGCGGCTGATAGACGGTCGAGGCGACGGTGGGCTGACTACGGAGGACGGGCGCCCCGGTGGTCTGATATTGGGCCGTCGGGGTGGAGGCTAACCTATAGAGAGCCGGGTTGGGGGACGGCGAGGACTCGTACAGCGCGGTGGAGGGTGTGACTTGTACCAAGGTCGTAGGTCTCCTGAACGCTGAGGGTCGCAGCTGCGGCTTCAGCTCCTCTTCCAGCTCTTGGCTGGCGTCGTCGTCCAGCTGATACTCCGTCTGGAATATCGTGGTGGGTGCTCGGGTCGTCGATGGCTGCTGGTACGTCGGTCTCACCGCGATGGGTCGTGGTACCGGCCTGACGGCCGGGTAATTCGCCGGGCCGGAGAGCTCTTCCTCTTCTTTCTCCGGCAGCTCCTCCTCTTCGTCCTTGGGCGCGTTGGGGTCGCAGGGGTTGCCGGATACGTAAGTGAACTCTCTCTTGTTGCCGTCGGGATCGATGTAGCCATATTTGCCACGTACGACGCAGTCGGTGCCGCGAGTCTCCTCCTTGAAGGAACCGTCGGCCGCCTCGTAGCCGAACGTGAAGGACCCGTCGTCGTTGACCTTGTTGTAGTTTCGAATGGTTTGCACCGGCGGCGGCTTCGACGCATGCAGCGTGTCCTTCGAGCGTGGCGAAGGAAGCGCGCGGGTGCGCGGCTGGTAGACCCCCACGAAGTCGTCCTCGGCTGCCTGGTTGTCCTCTTCTTCGTAGTAGACCTGAGGTGCCGCCACGCGAGGCCGGAGCTGCGGAACTCGCCCGGCTTCCGTTAGAGCGAGTAGACACGCCGGGATTACCTGCGAATGGAGAAGGATCTTTATTACGAGACTGCCTGCCCGAGGGCTCTCCGCTATGTCCGTATTTTAATATGATGCGACGTTACGCGTGCTGCGCACGGAAGAAAGCGGCCGCGGCGCGACTCTCCGATTAGAAATTTTCAGAGGAGTTCCGGCAGAGGAGGGGGCGGCTTCAATTGCCGGTAGAAACACGAGATTGCAGTTTCTGTTACAAAACTCACATGTTCCGGACTTTTGTTTTTATTAGCGTGTTCAACATGTGCGTACGGAAGCTCTTTTCGGTATCTTTCTCCTGTAAAACATTCTTCTACAAATACGCGGAGACCAGCCGGTGAGTGTCAAAACGGCGAGTCTTTTGCGAACGACATTTACAGCTTCCTTTATCGCGATAGTAACGACACGATAGACATAAACATAACACGACTCGCTCCTAGTTTTCGACATTCCTCTTCTTATAAGAAGAGTCACACGCACGTCTCAGAGGCCGGCAAATGTCGGCAAATAATCAACCGAAGCAAAGAATCATAAAAATCAAAGCGTGAGTCAGTGAAGCGGAGCGCCTCGGGAACGTTCACAGTTATCCCGTTGTCGCTTTCGCAACAACTTTGGAAGCCATCGGTCTCGATCCTAATCATTCGCGATGTACGTACAATTCGCGTCGGCCCTCCATCTTTATGTCCGATCGTGAACGTTCAAGACTCTAAGAGCCTTTATTGATTGATAGTCACTGGATTTGTTTCTCCTCCATAATTCCACCACGCTTGGGACGCGATCATTTCGCGTCTATTTACGTAAAAAATATGCGACACGAAAACAGATGATCTGTATCCGATAACGAAGACATCAAGGATCGATTCTGGAAGTCTGGAGCGTTTCCGCGCGGAAATCTAAGGTAAACGTCCCAATGGCCAGACACGTTTTACTTTGGAAAAAAATATTTACTATTTATTTTAACAATAACGAGTGATAAAATAATTATTGTAAGAAGAAACTCCAATATTTGACGATTAGTTGGAGAGAAATATACCCAATACTTGATACTTTTGTATTAAGATAAAGATTAATTAAATAAGTATGCATCTATAGTTTGGCAAAATAATGGTCAATCGGAATTAACAAATTCTTTAAGAGATAGCATCTGTATTTATATTATTTCCCGTTAGCACATACTAATTTTCTAATTGCGCTCAGACACTTGGACAAATTATATCCGAATATTGGTAACCGTAATCTTCTATTTCAATCGTCCGCTCGTCACTGCGTACATTAATGCGCCTCATTAATTGTGCAAATATTTCGTTAATAATAGACGTGTACATTGGTTTTAATTATTTTTCTCTACCTAAGGGAATCTTAAGTTCTCGAATAAGTGCAAATATTTACATCAAAACTATTCTTAATATTATATATCGTATTCTTCGTGCCGACCTACGCTTAAATCGCGCCTGATTACCGGGACATTTATCTTAACGGCGCGTTCGACGGCGGCGTCAAGTAGAAACGCGCGGTGCATGTCAGACACACGCGCGAGCCAACGCGCGGTGTCTTGCACGCGCAGCGAAGGAGGAAGTAGTTTGATCGTGTCACGCGAGAGGTGTGTAATCGAAATTGCCGGAGCCCCGGCTGCCGATCAGGCGCTGTGCCCGGCCGTGAAACCGGATCTGCATCGCGGAGGTACGCTTACAGGGCAATAGGAAGCAGAAGAGATGGAGAGAGGAGAGAGCGAGTTTCGCGGATCGGTGAACGCGCTCGTGTACGCGCGAGCGGCAAAATTCCTTATCGCCCGCTCGAACGCGACCGAATGGCCGGCAGTGCGCGCGGCTGTTAAGCGCGAGCACGAGCGCGCCCGACGACGTCGTAAAAGGTGCAGCTTGCTAGATTGCATCTGGATCTGAAGCGGGGCGGGGTGTACGTAAGCCCGCCGCGCGCGAGAATTTCCGCCTGTCGAATACGCGGACTTTGCGAATTACGCTCGGCACTCCCGGCGAATTGCCGGCGCGCACCGCGGCGAAAATCAGGCAGCCCGAGTCGCGCGCCCGTGCTGCTGAAACGCTGAATTTCTAAAAGTCAAATTTCGTATTTTTCCGACCGGCTACCGGCTAACGTCCGACGTTGCACTTTTGAATTCAGTTCGCTACCAACGTCCGCCGATTTGCAACTTCATCGGATTTAGCTCGCGCTTTTGTAGCGCCCGTAGCGCTCAGGTTTCCTTATACCGCCGTTATTTGTTACCTCAACACGCCTCATGTACCGCCTCCTCCTCGTCGTCTGTGCGCGAACTCGTTATCCGGCTGAATAATCACTCGAACGCCTCCTCGACGTTTCCCAGCTCGGCGCCGTTCTCTCCGTCCGTCCGCGGAGTCGAATCTGCATAATCGCACGAGCGCGCACGCGCGCGCGCGAAGCGTATTTTTACGCTCACGCGCGCCATTCTTCACGTGGCTGACCGCGCGTCCTTACTCCGACGAAACGTGGTCTCAACTTCCGGTAAGGCGGCTCGGTGGGAACCGCCCCGGCGCGCACACGTGTTACGTAATTTCTACTACTCGGCTGACCCGAATACGGGGCGAGGCAGGAGCAGCGCGGCTCGCTCGCTTGCTCGCTCGCTCGTTCGCGCGCGGCGGCGGCGGCCGCGGCGGCTCTACCGTGAGAGAGAAGGAGATTCAGATTCAGAACGTCGTAACTCGGCGCATGTTTCGCCGTCGCTTCTGGATCTCCTTGAACCGAGCCGGGAGCAGAACGCCGCTGCGCGCACAAAAGACCGGCGGTACCACGCCTAGCGGCGACGAGAGAGCCACAGGAAACACCGCCGTGTAGCTGCTCCTCCGAGCGCGTGAAGAAAAGGCTGGCACACGCGAGAGAGAGAGAGAGAGAGAGAGGAGGGGGGAAGAAGAAAAGCGACGGTTGTTCTCGCCTCAGTCTATTACGTCTTCGACGTACGCTCGCGGGTTGGGAGAGCGCGTGTTGCCTTTGTAACTTCAGTTGCGGACTTCAGTCGCGACGCGTGGAAGGGGTTGAGGGGTCTTTCTTTCGCGTTTCTCAGGTGTCTCACACCTGCGTGTGTGTGTGTGTGAGACTCGATCGATCGCGCCTCGTCGCGCGATGTCATTAATAACATCGACGCGAGATACACCGCGAGTGTATCCTCCTCTCGAGTGCCCTCTATCATCCTCGCTCTCAATCTCCGCGTTTATCGTTGCGCCAGCAATCACAGGAGCAACGAACGCACGAGCTCCGAGAGCCGCGAGATCTACACCGAGAGCGGTCGTTAGATCCCGCTCGATAACGTCCGTCGCCGGCGCTCTTTCAAACAGCCGGCGCGCCGGTCGAATGCTGATAAGATCGACTCGCTCGACTTCGCGATGACCTGATCGGGAATATTCGACGACCGCGCGTTGCTACACGCGCCGTCCTTGAGACGGAAAGGCACGTCGTCCTGGGACTTTCCAACGATACGGTATGCACCGTAGTGTCCGGGGCGTGCGTCGATTAATTTCCAGCCGATAAAACGCGCGCGCCGCCTTTCCTCGCGTCGACGACGACGACGACGACCACGTCGCTCGCTGACGAAACACCGGACCGAATTCGGCGCGTGTATGATAAATGGGCCCCGGCGGTGTCGCAAGCAGCGCGGAGGAACATACGAAAGTTGTCTGTCAGACGACTGCTGGAGCCGCGGGCGATCGGATCGATGTAGAGTCTCGTGGCAACATCAGCGGGCTCGATCAGAGCGCTGTTCGGCGGCGCGCAACTCCATTCCGCTTGTCCTTTCCTTTTCCATCATCCGCGAAACCGACGACCGGCGCGCGATTACGATTGTTCTCTCCGTGTCGCGGAGAGAAAGGAGAGAGGTTAATCGTTACGCAGAATTTCCCCGTCTCAGCTGGCTGAGGCTCGCTCAGCCCTCTCACCGTCCCGTTATCACCGTAATCACGAAGGCGTTATCAGAGTTGCCTCGACAACCGACTGTTTCTCAAAACACCCCGGTCTGAGAACGATTGAGAATCCGCTCGGCGGATTATCTAACCGACGCTCGCCAACGAAATCGGCTGCGTGTCCGCTTCCCTCAGCGAGTGCTCCCTGAAAATTGAAAAGGTCGGCCGCCGCCGCCGCCGATTCGCGATTATCGAGCTGTGCGAGCTGCGCGCACGGTGCTCTCTCGGGTTCCGACGAAATCGACGAGGATTTGCAACGTCGTCATTATCCTCGGCCACGGAACAGCGTGCGCGCGCGCGCGCGAGCGCAACTGTCCGGACCACTGAAGAAAGCGTGTACAGTCTAATGACTCCTCCGGTCTGGTTCGGGTTAGAGGAAAATCGTGACGCCGAGGTAGGGCTCTGCAATCAGCCGTTGTGGCGTGCCAGTCACACACAGTGAGAGGCACGGACACATTCGGTCGGGCCAGATCCAGTTGGGAGCAATCGGCCACGGCGCACCACGCCTCGTCTAAGTGAGCCCCGGAGCGGAGCTGTCTGGAGAAAGGGAGAATCGTTGCGTCGCGCCGCGCCGCGCTGTGCAAATTCACGCTCGCCTTAATAAACATACGTCTTGTTTTTGCGCGAGCGCCGTATCTGCGATTTCGATCGCTTCCGCGACGTTTTCGCGAAACCTCAGCATTGGAAGCTCGTGCGAACGGCGACGGTCGCCGCGGCGCAGGCGATGCGACGAGCGGTGGGGAATGTCATTTTTTATACTTCCGGAGGGTGACAAAAGTAAAGCCAAAACGTCCAGTCTTTCGCTTCCGGATCTCACTCGGATTGTACGGATTTAGGAGTGTAGAGAGATTAAAAATGAATCGATAAGTAAGAAGTGATTAATAAACTTCCGTACGTCCTGACAGATGTAGAGATGTGGGGAGCGGATAGTAAATAAATAATTACCGAGCGATTAGAAATTGATAAAATAAATATGAAACTCGAAATATGAGAATTGATGAAATAAAAAGCAACTTATAAATTCGCACACACCTTGACCCCTTCCGTGGCAGAGTAAAATTCGGT